CATTCGATCCAACAAAGCACTACATTGGGAGATAGAATAGAATGGATTGGGTTGTTGTATGATGATATTAAGGATCTTCCCAGCTTTTACTGCCAGAGTGTCACTGAGCAAGAACTTAAATTATTAGACAGACACCAACATGACGTAAAGAGCAGAGGCGGCAAGAACGCTCTCCAGATTTATGCAGAGCTTGAAAAGATGAAAACATTGAAATTTGAAATCGAGTCTTTGGTCAGCTACAGAGATATCAATTACCTGACAATGTTTGTATCAAAGAAAATTAGTAGATTCAACATTAAGAACCAATCTGTATCATTATAGATTTACAAACATCTCTTGATGGTCGAGCTTGATGTCAAAATCAATTTCACAAAGGGAATTCACATGAGATAAAATGACCTCTTGCACGTGTGGGTTAAATACAGAAGCCTCCGGATGATAATATCGTTTAAGGATCTGGTGGTTCTTGAATAATAAACGAATGAAGCTGTACAACTTGTGATGATTGAGTGCAAGGCAAATCCATGTTCTGAAATGTATACGTCGATCGAATAACAATTCATCACTTTGTATGGACTTGGAAATCATGAGGGTATACTGAACAAAATCAAAGTAGTGAACTTGTTCGTTGGTCAAAGAGGAAACATCTACCGCTCGCTGTTCTTCTATTGCTTGGTTGAGCCGATACTTCACAAAATCTGGTAATTGAAATTGTAAGTAATAATATAGCTCCAAAATGACATTCCAAATGTGATAGTATCCTTTCATGACTGATTGAAATTTGATGCCTTGTTTGAAAAAGTTTTCTAGTGCAGGACAAATACTACCTCGAGCAAATTTAGCTAAATAGACTCGGTCTTCAATCATCAATACCTTTTTAGAATCTACAAACTTCGAAATTTCACTTGCCACTTTGATGAAATGCTGAACTTTTTCGACGCTTCCCAAAATATATGTGTTGATATTGTACACATCCCTGGACTTGGATGAATATCCTAGTTTAAAGCTCATTTGGCAAAGTAATTCTACAATCGAAAGAAATTCGTCTCTGTGCGTACTGTCTACAAGTATCGATGTAGGTTCAAAGATTGACTTCAAGTAATTGCTACAATATTTACACAAGTAGTTGAATATATCTACTAGTTCACCAATGTCCAATAAGAACTCCATGAGAGTGACATCTTTCGTTTGTTGATATTGTTGTTGGTATTTTTGTGCAAACTTTTTCGAATTAAAATATTCTAAAAGTAAATGAATTCTGTGAACATTCATATATCTCAAATTGGGATCATTAATCGCTTGAATATTGGCATTTTCATCACAAACACAGTCATGAAGGATGTTATAGAATGTTCTTTCTGACATTCCAAAATATTTCTTCTTTGCTCTATTTAAGCAAACATTTGTGAGAGTCTTAATAAAGTTGTCATAATGTTGTGCAGTATGTTGTGAGAGAGTTCTACCTGATGCAACGACAGGGCTATATACAATATCATGTTCAACATGATAATCAAATTTGGTTATTGTGATCACTCCATTATTTTGTATGTCACCACCATTGCTGTTAATTAATATCAAAATTTCATGGTGCAATTGGTTCAGTAATGGATGTTCAGATATTTTGTGTTGTTTGGCAATTAATTTGACAACATCTTTGTTGTTGATATCTGGCACGTTGTGAATGGGTTTAGATACCATACTTTGAAATCTTTCTAACAATACAGATTCTTTCTGTTTTAACTCTGTTTCCCAGTGTGCTGTTAAAGAAGAGGAAGGAGCACACACTTTCTGCTTATTTGGTTTTAACACAATGACATTGGAAGATGATCTCTGATGATTGGTATGCACGGTTGTGCCAGTACTACTGGATTGTATGTGATTGTTATTATTCAAAGCTGAGGTCATGTGGTTAATAGCTTGTACCACATTTGTAGTGGCAGTGGCAGTAGTAGTAATTTCACTACTAGTTGCCGAGTTGCAACTATATGGAGGTTGCTGTTGTGAGCTACTTGTCGTGTTATCATACGAATGTTGTTTCGCTTCTTGACCACCACTTGTAGGTGCTCTTTCAATGTCCACTCCTGAATGAGCACTACTAAGAGTTTCATTTCGACCCTTTTTAATTTCTTCTTCCGTTAACACATCTCCATAAATAGCTCCCATGATTTGAGAAACTGATACTGGTTTTGAAAGTGGAGTTGGATCATCCTCATCATCAGAAATGTTTTCAATGTCACTATCTGAGAGTTCTTCTTCTTCTTTGCTATGAGTTTGACGAGTCGTCATGGTGAGTGAAGATTTGTTAAGATTCACCACTTGCTCCTGAGGAGGTGAAAATGGTGATTGTGGTGTGGAAACAATGGATTTATCACTACCACTACTACTACTACTATTGGACGTGTTTGGATGTACATTCATACTAGTGGTCGAAGTGGTTGTAGGTGTTGTTGCTTTTTTGGTCTTACGTTTTGGTATGGAAATTTTGCTTGAGGTTTTAGGAATGGTTCGTGTGGGTGAGCTCGTCGACGTTCTTTGTGTCTGAGCTTTGGATAAAGTCGTCGAGATCATCACTGAAGGTTCGTTGTTGTTGGATGATGTGTTGTTAAAGATTGAAGAATTACTAATTTGGGCTGAAGGAGAAGATGCCACGATGGGTGTCGTAGTTTGCTCTTCATAATCATCATCATATTCCTCAGCAAGAATGGAATCTAAAAGGTTGTCTTTTTTCTTGTCCATAGAATTGAGAGAGGACTCTATTGAGGTATTCTTTGGATTGGATGATGATGGATTCGTTAGTGAGCTTTTTGAGGTTGTTGGGTCCCTCGCACTTAAATCATCATCTTCGAGAAGTAATTTTGAAAGTACATCGGTCTCTTTCATAGGATCGAGAGGTAATTTCAAAGGATCTTGGTGTGATACAGTTTTGGTAATGACTGATGGTGTTGATACTAATGGCACTGATTGGACACTTGTGGTCTCATTCATTCGAGTGATCGGATTTAAATCTTCACTGTTCTGCACAGTGGTTTCTTGTTGATTGACATATTTGGAAATATCTGCATCTCCATTATCGAGTAGATCTTCCATGATTCTTTTTGCATCTCGCAAGATTTGTGTACCTTTCAGGTATGGTTCAAATGCTTTGATATCTGAACCTATTCTATGTGTTTGCTTGGTGAGAATTGCTTCTCTTAACTTTTTCTCAGCATGTAAACGTGTTTTGATCTTTTTGATTGATTCATCCAACCGAGTATATTCTTTTTCTATATATTTACGTTCATAGGAATCATAGGTTGTATCAATTTGTTTCTTGATCTTCTCTAGTTGTGAAAGATCTTCATCCATCATGTACTTTTCAATATCTTCTTTTACAGAATCAATAATTTTAAGTTTTTTCAAAATGGATTCAGGTTCTTCAATCATGGAATGAACCATACTCGCACAACATTCATCTTGTAAATATGTGTCTTCTGAAATATCATGTAACAGTGCTTCGAGTGTGGACGTATCATATTGATTCACATATTCTTTCAGACGACTTGTGTAATCTTTAATCCTTTTCAGAATTTCTTTGTAGTGTGTGACCTTTTTTTCTTCCTCTGAAAGATTAATAATAATTTTTGTATCTAATTTGTGTTTTTCCACTAAATGACGTAATTTTCTGAATTGTGATTGCATTTGATCGAGTTGAGATGATTTCAAGCTCTTATTCATCACAAGTTCTTTGACTTCTTTTTCAAGCTCTTGAGATTCGATTAAATGTTTTTTCATTGCTTGAACATAGGAATGAATTGGTTGATAGCGAAGACCTTTTTTCTCTAATAAATCGCCGAGCATGGTCTCTAAATCTGTAAGAGATTCTACATTCTTATCTGTATAACAGTCATCAATGAGAGATTTGTATTCATTAATTGTGACACGTTGTTCACTATCGAGCATTCTTTTGAGTTCCATAGCTCCAATTGATTGCAAAATTAATAATCTTCCCTTCACTGGTTTGTTACTGAAAGCAGAAACTTTCACATTCAATGGTTGTGTGAGATTGGTTTGATCTGTATCTTCCTCAATAATTGCCACAATAGGTTGTGGTAATATTTTCAATTCCGTAATATCTTTTTCTGAATGACTGGTTGAATTTGCAAATTTGTAAGTACAATGAAAAGGAATTTGATTCACCGAATGAACAAGAATATGATATTGTCCCATTGGCAATTCAAAATTATAATCATTTTCTTCTCCCTTTCCGAGTTCAAAGCCTTTCGTATGAAGAACATTAAATATTTGATGAATGGTAATTTTGTAACTGCACTTGGAATCGGGTGGCTCACAAAACAATGTAACTCGAATGATGGATTGTTGAGAGTCCATTGGAGTAGAAATTAATGTACTCCATGAACCTCCTTTTTCAATATTATCTGAATTACATAATTGATCATCATCTTTGGACATGATGGAAGATCCCGATGACTGACACGATACATCTGCTCGCAATATAACCGACGAAAAGAGTTTTAAACCCATGGCTGTTGTGTTGGAAATTTGAACTTTGAATCGACCTGGAGGAACAGGAAAACTCAAATCATTCACCCCTTCCGAAGAAGTTCCTTCTTGCTCTGTAATTGGATGTAAATGAAAATTTTGTTCATCGGCAATGATTTGGTTGAGTACAGAGTTTCCATTGTGTTGATGTGAAGAGGATGAAGAAGATGGATTTGTTTTGAATTTTCCAATGACACCTCTTAAATCCAATGTATTTCTCTTGGATGAGGTTGTAGCATGATAGGTGCCATCGTTGGTCGTGGATGACAGCGATGCACCTGTCTCTCTAATTCGGGTCATTATTTTTTATGGGGGAGTGATTGGAATGACAATCAATATTTTGACAAACAAAATTCATCAAAAGGTAAATGGAAAGCAGGTTACAATCGCAACTTTCAAACTCTGAATGAGGAAAGGACATGTTCACACTGGTACGTGTCAGTAGTAGTAGTAGCTTCTATTTAACAAGAGATGAAAAAGAGTGGCCATGCTTGGCACTGTGACAACAAGCTTTTCACACTAGGCATATTGGAGATGGTTGAATCCAAGTCAATGGCTATTGCGTGTTGGATGTGACGAATATCATAAGTCTTCACACAAATCACTTCATGAGTAGGAATGAGCACAGACCCTTGTTGTTGACTTTGAACTAGTTGGCTTTCCAAACGACCTTTCACAAACACTTCAATAAACATTGATCCTTCGGAAACAGGATACTTTTTTGAAGGGAATGCAAAGTTTGATGTATCACTATCTCTGAATGATTTGATTCTTCCTGTAATGCTTGAATGTAATGTGTTCACAATTACAAAATCACCTTTTTGAAATATTTGACCTCTAAACTTCAAAGAACAAATCGATACGTAATCCTTGAATAAAGAAATCTTGACTGGAGCCAACCACTGAAATGAAAAATTTTTCAAGTCTTCAATCGAATTCAAAGCATCTTCTTTGGACATGTTAGTGTGTGGAGATTCATCTATGTTCTGTGTATTGTACATGGCAATGTAGCAACATTCTTGTGACATCGAATTGGAACATAGATGCAATTTGTGCTGAATCAAAGAAATGGGTGAGCTGATACTTCGCCTTGTAGCCACAAGTTCCTTAGAGTTGGGAATATTGATATATTGAGTGGCTGTCATGGATGGAAACGAGCAATCGTAATACAAAGAATCAATTCTACAAAAAATCTCATCGTTATGATCATTCAACAATACCATGTCATGTAAACGATAAATTTCATTAGATCCATCTCGATTGATCCTAATAAATTTTGTTTTCAAGTAGCAATTTTGTTCTTCCTTAAAGAAGAAAGATCCTTCAATATCATATATCACTTCCTCACACATATCATAACATTGCAAGTCAACAAGAGATATTGACTCAACAATTTCAGTCCTGTTGATCGATCGGGATGGATGGGCAATTGTTTTCGATAATTGTGTAAAATTAATGACTTGCTCTGAAGAAAACTCTCTTTCCAAGGCTATGTTAAAACATCCATGACCTTATCGTATTGATATGCTTACCTTTGGGATGTAATTGTGATTTTCAAAATACTCTCTCTGTCTAGAATTGGTAACCTTCTTTGTGTTGCCATTTCACAAATGTCTGATGATACTTCATCGCCGTCTTTCACAAATATAAAATTAGATCCTTCGTTGGTTTGATTTTCCAAATTATGTTCAATGGTAGCTCCTCCTACTTTTAATATTCCACTCCAACCTGCTATAAGAGATTGATCTTGCGAGTTGTCAATAATCTTCACCTTACATCCATAGAAAATTCTATGTTCAATGTTACAACACAAGAGAGATTGGTTGAATGTTTGTTGTTCAACATGCTGAATTGAGGGATCGGATCTCAATCGATATGAACCTCTATCGACAAGGTATTTCTTAATCTCTGGATCTTCAAGTATCAATCGATGTTGATTGGAACAATCAAATATCCATTGAGGCTTTAGAATAGGAATGTCTAGTAATAGTGCAATTAAGAAGGTAGGTTTGGTGGATGACTTTTCACTTAATAATACAATTTTCTTGTTCAAATAAGTGTCCATCAGCTCTGAAGATAATTGTCTCATAATTGTACCATTCTCTTTTTTGATCATTCGATCGAGAGCCTCTTTATCTTTCTCGACCACCAAAGATGATGACACTACAAAGTGAATGTCAGAGAATATACGTTTCTTTCGATGAGGCTTTTTTCTCTTCTTTTCTTCCTCGATTTCTTCCTCGCTACTGATCAACTCTTGACTGAAAGGTGGAAGTACATATTCTTCCTCACTGACTTGAAAATCATCATTGTCGGAATTCTGTTCAAGCCTAACTCGTTGTTTCACCTCTTGAATCATTTCTTTTAACTGTCTGGATAAACTTTTCTTTACATTGTTGGACGAATTAGACTTTTGGTTTTTGCGAGGTTGTGGAACTTTCTTTTCATCATCTGTTTCAGATGAGCTTTCAAGATCTTTAAATTCCACTTTCTTTTTTACAGCAACAATTTTTGAATTTGTTTTAATTTTCTTTTTTGAAGGTTTCGTTTGATTTTTTAATGGTGATGATAGATTGGTCCCTTTACTAGCATTTTTCTTTTCAGATGTTACGGGAATGATGACATTTGATCTATGAGTCTCTTGAGAATGTGATGAAGATGATGAATCATCGGTGGCAGCAAAAAGAGTGTTTTTACTTTTGAAATCCAAAAGAGGGGAATCACAAAAATCCAATGTGTCCTCATTTTCATCTTCTCCAAAGGACATGTAAAGTGGTGAAAGCTGTTGATGCTCCGAGAGCTGAGAAGAAGGGCTGGAGAGTTCATTGGATCTAAACATTTTTTAACAAATTTTAAATGTAACGGCTAGTTTTTTGAGACATATTATTGTTGAAAAAGAATATGAAAAGCTTCCAGTTCAAAGGAAAGTGTATACAGTTTGAAAACAAATTGATTAGCTAATGGGTGTTTTAAAGCCATTCAAGTGTATAGCTATGTATCAAACTGCAAAGCCTCTCCCACTACGAATACTAAAAAAAAGTCTTCCTTCCTTATTACTGTTGCTAATGAGTTCAAATTTGACATCCATGCCCTCTTCAAATGATCATCTCAAAGCTACAAGAACTCCTTTAAAATCTTCAGGTACCACCAATCCAAAGAGTCCTCTCGTTGGAGTTCCTTCATCTCTCTCTGCTTTGAAAAAGCGAAAAGCCTTCATTCCGAAAGATGTTTCAGATTCAGAACAAGAGGAAGATGAAGTACTGTTTTCCAGAGCCAACATTCGTATGGCAAGTATAAAACAGGAGCCATTGTTGATCACTTGTTGCACAACAAACAACGTAAATAATTGTACAATCCAGTCGCACCCACCAGCAGCAGCTGCTGTAATTGAAAGCGGAGTTGAGCACAGCAGGAATATGGAAGGCTTACAGTGGGAAGAAGCATCAGTAAAGCATCAAGATTCCAAACGTACATTGAAAACCATTTCTTGGTATCAACCGTTCATCTTTGAATACGACTGTCATCACGATGAGCACGAACAATTGGTTATGGAATGTAACAAGATGTTGCAAAGTGAAGAATGGTAGCACATGGAATGTCACTTGTCTATTCTTTTCAAAAAAATACTAAGTCATCATCGAGTGAGTGCTGTCATTTCTCGGTACTGGGAACCATCATCATCCAATAACAACAACAACTCGCAGCAAACACTGTCCATTTTACTCGACACATCATCATTTACACTTTGATCCCTGCTTCGAAACGGCACGTGTAGTAATTTTACGGAAGCGGAAGTCTGCTGCTTTTCACACACAAGAATTATATAATATTTTATTGGTATTACAACCATCAAGATATTTAATCATCATCAAATAATACTATCTTTCGACAATTTATAACCCACACTTTCATGTCTACATCAAGAAATCTTATAAAACAAAAACTTGAAGACATTCTACAAGAAAAGGAAGGAGAAAAAATTTTGAAACGAACAATAGTTGTTTTTGAATTACCTTTTGTTGCCGAAGAAAAACAAATCAGAGAATTCTTTGAAAAGGTGAGCGGAGGAATTGCCTCTATTGATGTGATCAAAGCCAATGCTTTAGTCTTCAGTTCGGCAGTAATACAGTTCAATAAGGAGAAAGGTGCGGAGAAGGCCCTTGAGTTAGCTCGACATGGAGTTGCTGTGGGCCAATTTGATGGAATTGTAGCTTCGGCTCAAGATGTTTTGGAAGGAAAGAAACTTTCTAGAACAAAAGAAGATGTCAAACCATCATCAGGAACACCAGGCAATGGTTGTAAAAACCAATAATGTCATAATCTCACACCATTATAGTCGGCCGATGATGACAAAATCCCGTGCTCTTGTCATTTTCATTACATCCTCATTACTCCCACTCAAGAAGTCTCATCCATGGTTTTGAACATACGCCTGTTTAACATCACTTTATTACCTTCACTTTTCCAATTTTTCTCTTTCACTTTCGTTTTGCTTGACGAGATGACAGATTTCATAGCAAAACAGATACCACAATTCAACAGAATTCTACCGGCTTTTCTTCCTTATACACATTGTATTCATGCCCAACCATTACATCCACAATTTGTAATAAATACATTTATTCCTTAACGTTCTGATGGATTTTAGCCTTAAATCTTTTAGGTTGCTTCCAACCAAGTAGAAAACATCTCCTAGAAGTTGAACCCTCCACTGGCGACAACAAAGTCTTGTTGTGTGAATTTGAGAGAGTACACTGGTGATTGTTTGGTGAAATAAGTTTTGTATGGTTCCTTTGAGATTATTTTGTGCTTGTTCAGCTCCAATTTCTTTTCTTTGAGAATTTGAGCCGCTGATTCTGCTGAAGATCCAGTGTCAATAGTGTCAAACATGGACCACACTCGTACGGTACAATCTAAAGAGGCAGATGCAAGGAATGTGTCGTTTCTGTTAAAATCTAGTGACCAAATGGAGCCAGTATGACCAATAAACTTGTAAGCTATTTTACCAGAGCCAATATCCCACACAATCACTTGTTGGTCGTCTCCAGCAGATGCACAATATCGCCCGTCATGCGAAAAAGCAAGTGTGTTGATAGACCCATGGTGTCCAATAAACATTCTCATACATTCACCAGTTTGAACATCCCAAAGGCGAACAGTTTTGTCGCTGGAACCTGTGGCAACATAATTACAATTTGGATGGAATTTTACACATTCTACATCAGACAAATGTCCCGCTAATACTCTTACTGGAGTAACTCTGTCAGTAACCCATAATCTTGCTGTTCGATCATGAGATGCTGTTGCAAACATATAATCTGTTGGGCTAAAGGAGACATTCCAAACTGCATATTGATGACCTTTGTAAACAACAACACATTCAGAATTGTTAACGTTCCATAAACGAGCTGTACAATCTTCACTTCCTGAAAGTAGCCATTGTTGGTCTGAATTAAAAGATAAGGAGTACACTGGCCCTGAATGCCCAACAAGAGTTTCGTATTGGCATTCTCTATTTTCGTTATCATCTGAGTTAACGTTTTCTGCGCTTCTCGCGTATGACTTGGTGTTAGGAATGGTGCCATTAAGAATACGCCAGTTCCAACATCTAATTGTGGAATCAGAAAATCCAGCAGCAATTACTGGGCCATTTCTTAGGTTATATTGGGGTGCAAAATCACCGTCTTCAATAAAGTAATTAGATGGTTTGTGTTCAAAGTTTGTGCCAATTTCAACAGTATTTAAATTGGAGCTACAATTGAAAAGTGTGTAGAAGCACACTGACGGACATACAGGGACTTGCTCCTTTGCAATATCTATTAATTTCTTAATTTCTGCTTGTGCGGCTGTTGATGCCCCTTTTTTCTTTCTTCCTCTTCTACTAGGTTGAGGAGCAACTGGAGTTTCAGGAACGGTGACAGCAGAGGCTAACACTTCTTCTTTTTCTCTATTTTCGACCTCCCAATTGATTTTTTTGTTTTTTCCAAATATTGCTTCCAATTCATCTTCATCATCTTCAGTCAAATCCTCATCCTCAGATCCCTCAGCTTCTTCAGAAGTGGCCTTTCGTTTCTTCTTTTGTTGTTGAGCTTTGATGTCGTGGTCCATTAACAAAATTCCATCTATCATAGCAGGAGCTTGTAAACTTGGTTGGCCTTTGTATGTCTTAAAATTGACGTATTGATTTAAAATAGATAACAATTTTAACTCGGATGAGTCTTGCAAGAATTTCATCAGTAAATGGAAGCTTGCTTCACTAAGTCTAATGATAAACTTGTGAGACAATAATCTCTTAGAAAACTCATTTTGTGCCATTATCTCTGGTGATTGAAGACTCTGAAGAGTCAAAATTTCGTCGTAGTGAAAATGTGAATGTTGATTCTTGTACTTGTTTAAAAACTTTCTTGCTTCCTCTATATGTCCCTTGCTAACAAGTTCCAAATAGCAATGAACAAATACAGGATACAACACTTGAACAAGTTCATTCTTTTAAAGATTAATATATTTTCCACAATTGAAAAAGAAATACAAACCTTGTAAATTTCAAGTGATGAAAAGACCCAGTCAGTAAGAGACTGATAAGCTTGTAAATAGCCCTTTCCACTTTGTCTATCACTGATAAAACTGTTTATCACCTCGCTTTCACCATCTTCGTTAATGGGTTAATGACTTTTATCTTGAGAACAAATAGTACTTACTAGCTGATCCGAGATCGTACGTAGAAGCAAATTCCGAAATATCGGTTGTTACCAAATTCTGTCCGGACGGAAGACCATTCAATTCTTCTTCTAAAGCTTTCACTGATCGTTGAAATCCATTTTGTTGTAGGAATTTTAAAACCAATTCCTTCATCTTTTCTTGTTGTTGGACATTTTCCGACGTTAGTGATGGTGTGTTTTGAGTGGATGATGAGGCCTCTGTTCCGCTGCTCATTTTTTTTATTGTTGTTGTGAAAAAAAATTGCAACTTTTATTGCTGCTTGAGATAACCTTGGCAACGACTCTCAATTTCTTCATCCAAAATGCCTCTAGAAAGAACTTCTTTCATGTGCTTGGAAATGAGTGGGGGGAGGTCAGCTCTCAGCTGTTTTTGAATTCTTAATAATTCTTCTCGATTCACAAGTATTAACTTTGCAAAAGATTTGAACAAATGAATAGTGTAACCGACTGGTCGTAAATGAACTGCAATCACTCCACTCACAGCCAATAAGAGAGCACAAATGAGAGCAAATTTGAAGCTAAACATAATGGTGAGGATGATTGCTGTGAATATATAATACAACGGTAAAAGGAAAATCATCATCATAAGAATGTAGTGAGCTTCTTGATCTCTATATCCTTGTGAAATCTTCTTTCCGAAATAGCTGCTCACAAGTCCAACTGGTAAATGGTAAATTGACCCAGGAAGTGTCACTGGTAATGTGACAAGTAGTGTCAACAATTTTCTAATAAAAAAGTATCTCATTGAAAGTTCTGAGTATTTCATGTTTAACAATCTCATGTGTGAGCTTAACTGTTTTAAAGTAGCAAACACTTGTTTGGCATCTTCTTGTTTTTCAAACACATCAATAAATTTTTGAGTCAGAAAGATATATTCTTCTTGTGACAATGGATTGGACCTTTTTCTCACTAATGATCTTGCAATGTGTGCAGCAGAAATGGTTTCAGGATCATTTGCAACTACAGTCACATGTTGCATTCCTTTTCTAACCACATCAGCTAAATTATCCAATAATTTTGTGCTGTCTTTTTTAAACTCGGACAAATGAGATCGGTCAATGATAATTTGTCTTCCGAATTGAATAAATACGTCAGATCTAAACTCATTCTTTGAATCATAATTCAACCCTACAGGTACTACAACGACTTTTGAAATATGTTCATCAGAATCAAGAGCTTGCAATGCTGCTCTTGCAAATCCTGTTTTAATCTTTGTCAAGGTAGAATTATTGTGACTAGTTCCCTCTGGAAATATCACAAGGCAGTCATTTGCTTTCAATACTTCAGCCATTGCATTTATTGCTGCTTGATTGGATAGTCTTCTTTGCTCCTCTTCATCTTTGGTGATGTCTTGTTGACGAACTACTGGAATTGTTCCTAATAATTTAAGGAAAGTTCCTAATAAAGGTAATTTAAATAGCTCTGCTTTTGCAACACTGAAAAACTGTCAGATCCATTTGTTACTATTCATCAAGGTTGCTTACCTCCTCACAATTCTCTTACTCACTTGTGAATAAATGATAACACCATCCACAAGACCATTGTAATGATTAACAGTACTGTTGAAAATGAAACAAGATGATTATATTCCAATAAGCTAGATTACGTACAAAATAACTGGAACCTTCTTTGGAATGTTTTCAGTTCCTTTGACGCTCACATTTGCGTAGAATAAGCTGATACAAAATCTGATATTTTGGTAATGCACGATCATGGTTGTCGATCGTTTGTTGTATTCCGAAATTTGATATGAAATTATGGATGTGGTTTCAAAGTATTTTTGGATTGGCCAAACAAAGCAACCACTCGTACGTACTCAAAGAACCAGCGCAGGGCTGTGTAGGCCAAGATGTTGACTTGTGCCATTTTTTTGTTTTGAACCAAGTTCATTCTTTATGGAGTGAACTTGTATTGAGCTGCTGCTAGTGAAGACGAGATTTGTTGGGGCCCTTCAAGTGATCTATGATTGTAGAATCGTATGAGAACTCATACAACCCTATGAACAATTAGTTATTCACCTACGATCATCGATAACATTTTTTGAATTTATTGTGATGACGTACACTGATGATGATCATCAAAGCTCAGAAAATAAATTACTTTCAACATCAATTTAATTAAAAACGACCTCCCTTCAATTGCAAAATCAATTGAACAGTATCTCCGGCTTTAAGACCAACATCTTTAACAGTCTTGTCATCAGGCAAAATCTTTCCGTTCATGACGAGTCTTTGTTGTGGCACAGCAATACCCACTTTTTCTTGGATGAGTTGTTTCAGATAGGTGATCTTGTCTGTTTCTTCCACATCCAACTTGTTGATACCGCCTGACAAGGTCTTGATGTTGATTTGCATGGTGAAGGTTTGGTGTATGAACTTATTTTTTTCTTGTGTTTTACAAAAATATTTTGGTGCCAAAAATAACTTTGTGCTCAGCCATCTTGCCTTTGTGTCGAAGAGAGAGGAGAGTTTTGGCTTGAGAGAGTGGTGGTTGTGTTGTCAATTTGTTGTAGGGGAGTGAAATGAGAATTGAGTGAAGAGCTTTGGAAAGGATGGATGGAACTTGAAGAGACTGGAATAGAAGCGGCTTCCATCGAATTCATCTCTGTGTTGGTACCAAGAAATACTTTCTTTTGCAAACTGATCTGGTCTAAAAACTTTTGCTGTTCCTTAATTTTCCATTCATTTCTCATGTCATCAACATCATAGTATGTAGAAGAAATCCATCCTCCAGAGTACGACGAAGATGGCCTTATTTCTTCTCTTCGTTTTTCAAGTCTTGGTGTGGAGTACCTTCTTTCATTTGCTGCTGGGCTGTTCACATCACTACTGTTGCTAAGATCATCAGTGTAAGACAGCTCTGACTTTTCTGAGCTGTCTCGTTGAGAGTATCTATGGTTTCTAGGTGGAGATACTTCTTCTTCGTCCATGTCATTCTTATCCATACACGAGGTCAAATTCATAAATTTCAATTGTTCATTGAGGGTCGTTTCAGTTTTTCTAATTCTTTCAGATCGAGCTGCAATTTCAGCCTTTTCAACACCAAGTTGCTTTCTAGTTTTTGTAATCTCCAATCGTTCAATTTCAAGCATTTTCCTTTGGTCTTGTAATTGTTTTTCTAATTGTTTAAGATTTTTCTTTTCCAATAAATAATTTCTGTTGAGCGCTTCTGCTTCATTTCTCATCTTCTCTGTTTCAGCCTTTTCTTTCATAATTTCGTGATATTTGGCTGAGATATGTTCGGAATCAGTTTGTACCTGTATCATCTTTTGAGCAACGGCTTCATGTTGATGATAAAGAGCTTCCTTCTCTTTCAAAAGAGTGGATTTAAGCTCCTCAATATCTTTACGTTCTCTTTCTATGAGATCTTTTGTTTCTCTGATGAGCCTTCGTTCTTCTTCTAAATTTTTCTTCTCTGCAGATAAATTGGCCTCTTTTTCGAATAATTCCTTCATTCGTGCTGAATACTCAATTCTAGATGATTCACGTTCAGCTAAACTTTCTTTTTGAGCTCTAGAAAGCTTGGATCTCTCTTCTTGAGTTTCAACCATGAAGTGTTGTCTTTCCACAATGAATTTGCTCTTTTCTTCATCAACTGCTTCCCTCATTTCGTAAATTTCCTTTATCTTTGTTTCATACTCTTTTTCAAAGTTTCGCTTCTTTTCTTCAAGTTCTCTTTCTTTCTTCATTGTCAATAATCGTTCCTCTTCATAGTTTTTCTGAATGCTTTGCATCTTTGTTTCCATTTCTACAAATAGTGTTTGAATTCGTGTTCGTTCCGCAATGGTCTCCTCTTTTTGCTTTTGGATGTGTTTTTCACTCTCAGCTATTAACCGCTCTCTGACTAACAAGTGATCTTCTTTTTGTTTGAGGAGCTTCATCTGGTCTTCGTAAAGCTTGTTGTGCAATGTCTCCACAGAGTGAGCATTGACTTCAACTTTCTTAATTAGCTCGTTCAACGAGGATTCTACTTCAACATGTTTCATTTTAGATTGAATTTCTTCTTTCATAATACGCTTATGTTCTTCTATTTCATCCTTTTGGCGCTCTAGTAAAGCAGTTTTTTCAATTTCATGTAACTTATGAATTTGCTCAATCTCCATTTGGGTTCGTCTTTTCATATTTTCCATCTCTGTTGCAATGGTAAGATCTGCTCGCTCTTTCTCTCTAGCAAGTCTTCTTAAAAACTCTTCATTTTCCTCCTGCCAACGTAAATCACGTTGTTTTACTTCTTCTTTCAATTGCTCAATTTTCAGTTGAGATTTTTGAATGGTGGATTCATACTCTATTCGAACATTGTTAACAGTTGCTTGCTTCTCTTGGTCAAAATTAATTTTCATTCTGTGAATAATTTCTTCTTGCTCCTGGCGTAACTCGTTCAACAATGTCTTTTCTTTAAGCTCCTGATCCAGAAGCTTTTTCTGGAATTCTTTGATTTGAACCTCTTGTCTTTCAATGGTTTTTTGATATTCTTCGATTTGCGAAAGATATTTTGCTCTTTCTTCGGAGAATTCCTGTTTGAATTCTTGTTTGAAGATTCCAGAAATGTTTTCTAAATCCTCTTTAACTAGGCTCCTTTGCATTACAACATATTCTTGATTTTGTTTTGTAGCACCAAAAATGTCTCGTTTTGGAGAATGCATAGACACCATGGTTGGTGGTTGATCATTACTCTTGATAGGTGATGCTGGAGGCTTTAAGCTGACTGAAGTAAGGGAACCGTTAGAAATAGTGTTTGATGATGGTCTAGTAACCCTTGGTGGATCTTCTGGGTCCAGGTAAGTCAATGACTTTTTCATTTCTTCAACAGGATCTGCAGAGAAATCAAAATCCTCGTCAAATACTTGTTCCTCCTCTACTTCCACAGTTTCTTCAACGTTGTGTTGTTCCGCAGTATTGTTAGAAGCATCTTCAAAATCTGTAAAATTTTCAATATCAGTTTCCTCTGCTCGTGGTTGCTCAATTTCCTTAATTGAGTCTTCAAAGTCGCTTTCTATGACTTCTTCTTGCATCTCGAAGGCATATTGTTGTCTTTCTTTTTCCAAGCGTTCCTGTTCCATTCGCTTCTTTTCTTCTTGCTCTCTTGCCATTCTTGCTTCTCGTTCTCTCTTCTCGCGTTCCTCTCGCTCTTTCTTTTCTTTGGCTTCTCTTTCCTTCCTTTCTTTTTCTTGTCGCTCCTGTTTTTCTCGTTCTTCCCTTTCAAATCTTTCACGTTCCTCTCTCTCCCTTTTTTCTCGTTCCTTTTTTTCTCTTTCCTTTCGGTCATTTTCTTCTTGTTCCCTTTTCTCTCGTTCTAGTCGCAATTGTTCCTCTTTTGCATTACGTTCTCGCTCCTCTCGTTCTAACCTTTCTTTCTCTTCTTGCTCAATTCTTTCACGCTCCTCTCTTTCTTTTCTTTCTCGTTCTTCTCTTTCTCTTTTCTCTATCTCTTCTTTTTCTTTGATTTTCATAATTTCTTTTTCTTGCTCCTCTAGCATTTTGTCCTCCTCGAAATCAAAGTCGTCACTCGATTTAGATGATCGTTTTTTCTTTTTATCATTCTTTGATTCTGTTGTGGATTCAGGAGGAGAAAATCCAGTAGGTCTTTTGCTGGAAGTGGGTCGTTTTGTACGTGTAGTGTCAAAAGAATAGGCCTCTGATGAGGAATTTTTTGGAGACTTTTTCTTTTTGTCCTTCTTTTTTTGTTTGTTTGTGCTCGGCAAGATATCATCGAGCCCAAGCATTTCTCCTACTTCATCGTCATCGAAATCTGAAAACTAAAAACAATAAGGAAAAATAACATAATTTGAATAAAGTTACTCACCCCAGAGGTCGAAATGGTTTCATCAGTATTCGTGTTAGAATTCTTTTTTCCAAAAATATCAAAATTTAACTTGGTGAGCGACGTTGAGGACTCATTGGACGACCCATTACTTTTTAAAGATTTTGTAGAATTTCTTCTCGATGACTTTCCTGATCCTGCTTTGCTCTTATTTCCAAATAAATTAAAACCTCCCACAGAAGTGAGATCTTCGTTGGTTTCCGAGTTGTCACTATCATCATTTCCAGATGCAAATACCTCACCAAAGTCTCCTCCAAATATCATGTTTGATTTTTTTGTTTTCTTTTTTCCAAAACTAAGGCCTAACGAAAAGTCGTTAGTTGAGGAGTCATTTGATCCAACAGAGCTGAGTGATGATCTCTTAGAAGGAGGTCCTTTTGGAAGTGTAGTTAAATCCGACATTTAGGTGGAATTGATATGGTGTTTTTCCAAGGTCAGGACAAGATTTAAATTTTTTTGTTTGGCGGTCGTTGATGCTTTGATGTAAAAACTTACGCGGTAATTTTTTTGGCGCCAAGTTATTTCTGCTTGTTTTAAAACTCTTCTTTATTTGCCTGGTCGCTCGGCACACGACGAAATGCTTCTACTTTCCGTCTTCGTTCTTCCACTTGGCGGTCTCCCCACTTTTTAATAATTTCTTCTTTTTCCCGATCAAATTTTCTTTTTCCAATAAAACGACTGACCCACGACTCCGGACAAAGATTTTGCAATTTCATAAATTCTACTTCACATTTAGAAATATCCTCCTTGTTCTGATCGAGACATTCAAAGAGAAGTTCTTTCGCTTTCCAGCAAGCTTCTCTCTCTTCTTTTTTCATTTTTTTTTGATTGACCTGTGAATTCATCAAAATGAGGTAACAAGATGAAGAGCGAGGTGTTCGCTTGGGTCATCGACTGAGATGAAGTCACCTTCTGACAACTTGTTAAACTACAGGTTTTCAAGATCCAAAAGTAACCTTTTTAGAACATCGTATTCAATAAGCAGTCTGTCAAATATTTTGTTATCGCGCAACAATGTTTCATTAATTATTTCTACAAAATTATTTGTCATCAAGAGCCTCAACTCCTGGAAGTTTACGTCCTTCCAATAATTCCAATGATGCACCTCCTCCTGTGCTAATGTGTGACACCTTATTTTGAGCACCATTATTGCAAACCAAGCTGACAGTGTCACCACCTCCAATAATTGAAACTAACCCTTTTTCAGTTGCAGTTGCAACAGCATCCAACAAACCAACTGAGCCTGTAGCAAATTGCTTAATCTCGAATACTCCTGCTGGTCCGTTCCAAACCAAAGTTTTGGCACCTAAAATGACTTGTTTGAACAACTCAATAGATTGTGGGCCAATATCCAATCCCATCAAATCATCAGGGATTCCTTGCTCATCAGTGTAAATAGATTTCTCTGCAGTATCATTTACAGCGTTTGCACAAACGTGGTCAATTGGGAAGTGAAGTTTAACACCATTCTTCTTTGCCTTTTCAAGCAAACCTTCAACAATTTTTGATCCTTCTTCATCAAATAAGGACTTTCCAATGGATACACCAAAGCACACTTTCTTAAAAGTGAAAGCCATTCCTCCAACGATGATCATTTCGTCAACTTTGTCCAGCATGTTTTCAATCAACTTGATCTTGTCCTTGACTTTGGCACCACCAAGAATTGCAACAAATGGACGTTGTGGCTCAACTAGAGCCTTACGGAAATAGTCAAGTTCTTTCTTCAAAAGAAATCCAGAAACGCAAGTTCCTAATCTCTTTAATCCAACCATGCTGGAGTGTGGACGGTGAGCAGTACCGAAAGCATCATTCACATAAACGTCTCCATACTTGGCCAACTGTGCTCTAAATTTCTCAACGGCTTCATCCGAGGTTCCTTTCAACACCTCTTCTTCGGGGTGAAATCTGAGATTTTCAAGCAAGACAATCTTTGCCTTCTCTTCGAGAACAGCCTTCTCAGAGTCAGAACCAACACAATCCTTTGCAAATCTAACAGATTCACCCAACAACTTTTCCAACTCTTTAGCAACAGGTTCCAACGATGCATCGGGAACCACCTTACCGTCAGGTCTACCGAGATGACTCATCAGTACAATTTGTGTTGCTCCGTGATCGAGAATGTATTTCAATGTAGGAATGGTTTCTTTGATTCTTGTGTTGTCTTTGATGATACCGTTCTTGAGAGGAACGTTGTAGTCAACTCTTACAAGTACTCTCTTGCCAGAGAGATTAACATCTTCAATACTCTTCTTGTTCATGATGGAGTGTTGGATTAATAACAAAGGTTTTTTTTTGATGTCTTGTTCCGGATCCATCTTGTAATGGCTTAATCGGGGACTGATTTTCAAACGTTCTTAAGAGGGTAAATATCTATTTAGTGATAGCAGCAGCATTGACAATGCTTCTCTAACATTGAACAAGGAAACAACACTCCCTGTAATGCTCAATCATACAGCAACTTAAGTTTTGAAGAAAGAATTTTGGATAGATTGTGCCACTGCGAAGAAAAGGCACCAAGCGTTGTAAACGACTCAAAAATATCGCAAAAAAATGCTCTCTCGCTTCTCTCGTTTTGCTGTGAAGAATAACAAATTTTTATCGGCTTCCTCCCAACAAGTCAGATACATCCGATTCGAAGCAAACCCATCAGGTATGTATCATTCTCATGATGCTAACATTAATATATTCGAATTCTGTACTTTCAATTTTAATTAGTGAGAGCTCAACAAGCTGATGTTGCTATCCAAAAGTTTGGTTCTCTCAAATATATGGGCATGCCTATCACTGTCGATCACTACAACGAAATTATTTGGAAATGTGTTGAAAATGCTCAATCCGATAAGGCAAAATATATGTTTGATGAAATGAGAGCTGAGAACATTGTACCTGATGTTGAAACCTTCTCTATGCTGATTGGATGTTGTCTCTTTGATACCAATCCATTGAGAGCTGTTAACTATTTGGAAGAAATGATTCTATTAGGAGTTGAAACACCAAAGTCTTTCTATACTACTATCAGTGAAGTTTTAACCAAGGCTAAACACCCACAAAGTAGCAAGATTTTCGCAGAATTAGCTAGCAAGCCTCAAGTCACAAAGGAAGATGTTTTGTCTGCTATTCGTTCTGCTAAAACTGATATCGGTATCATCGTCCACTAAATTATATTAAATTGCAAACACACCATCAACAAATGTTGGGTTTTTGGATCACATTTCTCAAGACGTAATAATAAAACAAAATAACAATCAAAAAAATGTTCACACATCGACATCTGCCATCACGAAGCTTTACCAAGACGCCTAAAACTAGGACGATCGTCAACAATGTCAATTTGTTATATTCAACAATGTTACTTTTAGCAGTTATAAATATGACCATCATGTTTGACATGATCGTAGCCTCTTTTGTACGTGATGAATTGACGTCACCAAATCTTGTTCCTGTATATTATGAAGATAGCAAATATTCCCCAAATTCAAACATGAACTCATTCCGAATACTGAGTAGCACAAGTGTTGGAAATAGAGAAGGAGATAATATTCCTCCTTGCGATGATCTGTATGGGACGCAATTTGCTTGTGATATTCCAAACATTTCGAACAAGACGTATGAATTCGAAGGATGTCAACCAAATAATACTGTAAAAGTTTCTTGTACTGTCCGTGACGGTGTGACATGTAGTGGAGATAGAACCTTTTACAAGGAAATTTCTTGCTTTTATACGTATGTCTTTTAAAGTTAAATTTATGAAAACTTAATTTCATGACAATTATTAATATGATCAAATGCAGAAACGGGTATTACTTCTCCGTAGCTATGGCATTGAGCGTTTTCTTTGGAATTTGTGGAATAGATAGATTCTATCTTGGTCAAGTTGGTTATGGATTATTTAAATTATTTACATTTGGTGGATTTGGTATTTTGTGGATTTATGATATTGTCTTGATAGCTATGCAACAGACTAAGCCAAATGATGGAAGCAATTACATTGTAGGATACAATGGTATGTTTTAAGTGGTGACGTTGTAGTGGTGGTCTAACTTTTCTAACGTACAGGTCCAAGAAACCTTAAATTCATTCGAAATAATAATACTTATGTATTTAACTAATGTAAACAATACAATATTTTAATTGTTTAATTGATTTAATTGGAGGTGTTCAACTTAGTAAAGATTTTGGTGGTTGAGATGACTCAATACAAAAAATGAGTGCTAGCCTTCATCACTCGTACGGAGATGAGTCGCATTCCTCTGATCAACAACAACAACAACAACCATCCAATACAACCTTTCGACGGCATTCAGTACAACTTGAGGGAGAAGACAAACCACTGATCATGATGACGAAAAGCTCGGAAGTATCTGCTCTTAGCATAAATGAAAGAACCCAAACAGCATATCCTACTGAGGTTCGTTCCGCCCGTGAACATCCGAAGGTATGTCTTATGATTGTGATTAGATACAATTAATTGGGTTGGATCAGACTCTGAGGAGTAGAAAGGATTCACGTAGTAGAAATAATTTTGCATACGAAAATTCCAACTTGTTCAGTGAATCATCATCTCATTCCACAATTCCGATTAAGGATCTTCTGGACAAACTCTCTATCAAAGAAAAGAAACTAGAAGAACTTCACCAAAAAAGATTGGAAAGAGAGAAAAAACGTTTCGAAAACACAGATATTGATAGTAAGTTGTAATCGTCAAATTTACTTATACAAGGAAATGATTTAGCTGTCTTATTGGAGCACAAAAGTAGGCTTGATGAGTTGCAGGAAGAAAAAAACAAGATGGAACAAGAATTGACAAGCATTAGAAATCTATATGAAGATAAAATTACACATCTACAGCTTCAAGTAGAGGAATTACAGCTGGATAAGGAAATTGCTGAGGAGCATGCAAAACAACTTCGAGACCAATTAGATGAAATTATATTCAAGGATGGTGACATGACCAAAAATACTTTAAATCTAGATTTGGAATATTTAGAAGTTGAGACTCTCTACAAACAAAAAATTCAAGAGCTGCTCACTAAAAACGCTGATTATGCAACTGTAGGTAATTTTTTCTTCAATTATTCATGAAACTACCAATTTCAAAGGCGTTGAATTTAATGGCAACACAATTAAGCGATTTAGAATGTTATAGACATTTATATGTTGACCTTGAGAGGGTAAATAAGGAGGAAATAGATCTTCTGCGAGCTGAGCTTTCTGAAAGAGAGACATACTGCCATGATTTAGAGCAATATCTTGTTAAGATTCAACTAACGATGAACGAAAAAGACTCAGTAGAGCTTAGAGCTAATGATCAAAAACAAGAGAACGTACAATTAGACTCAAGATGGAAAAATGAAGAACGAAGAATTCGATCCTGGCAGATTGAAAAAGAAATGATGAAAATAGATATCGAGTCCCTTACCAAAGAAAAGGATATTTTATACGTAAGTTTCATGATCCATTGGTTCTGATACAGAACTATTCGATCAGTCATTACTTCCAGAAAAGTTCTACGAAGATCATGCTGTGTGGATGAAAATATTCTTTACCATCCACAGTTCTTCAAAAAAATTAGAATATGCTATTCAACATTTTTCGGAACTCAATTATTGTTCTGACCTGTCATCAATGGATTACCATATTAGGGCTCACTTTTTCCTCTCATCATGTATTTATATTCTAGAAATGTACATATTCAGAATTGGTAGCATTGAATGCCTGAAAGAGATATCTTCAAATGTAAAAAATTTCTCAGAGATACAATATGCTATTGATCTTCTACTTCATACTTTACAAAAAGATACTCTAACAGAAAATAGTTTTATTGAAATTACAGTTTCTCTATCGTATTCATTAACTAATTTGCTGCGAGATGCTTATGAAACAAATTCACATTTTTCGGGGTATGTATATCAGAAAACATCAATGAGTTAATAGTTTTCAGTAATATTTCTGTTATTTTACAACCATGTCTACGTGTACTAGATGCAATAATAGAGATAATACAATACATTAAGAACTTGATAAATAATATAAATTTTGAGCCTGCAAAATCAAATAACCCGTACACCGACATTTTTGATTACATGACGGAGTGCCAATATGAGTTTACTATTTTTGCTCAAAATGTACGGAATTTATTTACTTCAACCACCAAGGCGTACAATGCTTTAATGAGAGAAAGCAATTTTAATTTGTTAGTAGACATCAAGCTTGCCTTATTATTTTTACTTCTGGTATACGAAACGGTTTTTTCCAGGTTATCACAAATTTCTCAAGCTCACCCACACCAATCGAAAATTTCAGAGAAACAGTTATCAAAAATTGAAAAGATACTCACATCTAAAATAGATGTGTCCTATATTTCATCACACCAGTTCTCAGATATATCATTCAGACAGTTATCACAATTGGTAATCTCTGTTTTAGGAATTTCACATGAGGATGTCGTGTCATTAGGCAAATGGTTTGGCCAAAGCAAAAATGAATTTTTGCCTCTTGATAGTATACGACACTTTAGTCATAAAATTGCTTCCTCAACGAATGAGATAGCGAGCACTGAACAGTTGGAAACATATGATGGTAAGCATCAATTTATTGGAAAATCACGCTTACGTTGCAATAATTACTAGCGATGACAAATTCTGTTCTGTCCAAAAAGATTGTAAGGTTCAAAAAGGAGTTGGAGGCATTTGACGTCATGAAGCCATTGTTAGAACGTTCGGACCGAGAGAAAAAGGAGATGACAAAATTAATTATTGAATTGCAAGAAAAGCTTCAAAAACTGTTGGAAGAACGAGATACAATGGAAAGCTTGAAGAACTCCATTCAAAATATTGAAAATGAAAATAAGGAGCTTCAAGAAAAGCTAACGGATATGGAACACTACAAGCTAAAATATGAGGAAGCCATCCATGAAGAACAACTTTATATGGACACCATCGACAAGATGAGAAATGATATTTTTACACTTGATTCAATTTGCAAAGAGTTGGAAGAAAGACTTCAAAGCTTGACACCAGAAAGTGGATTTTCACCAAAACACCCCTTACAACGCCAACTTTCAAGAACAACATCTTTTTCTAAAAGATTGCCATCTATGATGGGGGATCAGACTGACAAATTTGAGCTTGAAAAAGTACGTCATGAGTTGGCACACCTTAAGCATCAAAATTTTATTACTAAGGTTCAGCAGAATGAAAATAAGCTGATTAATATTGTGCACAATCCTATGTTTGTTGAGGATGAAACTCAACAGCAGAAAAAACAAATACGGAAAGCACTCTCAAATCTCATGAAAGAAGTAACTTGTGTTCCATTATCAGTCGTCGATTTAACAAACTCTAAATTGAAACCAGAGAAGCAGCTGATGAAAACGTTGACAGTGATGGAAGAGCAAAAAAGACAATTGGATACCTTCAACCACACTGTTCGTGTGCATTTCAAAGGAAGAACGGAAGGTGCCAAGCTATTCGAGAAAAAATGATTCCGATCGATTCATCGTCTTCTGAGAATAATATTTCGATGGATCCACAAACAAGAAGTGTTTACGGGATAGACACCAATGCTCTAACATTTTTTAGGGAAGAGTTAAAACCAAAATGCTCGGAATTGGCTACACTGTTACAGCAAGTCACCTACCCTCTTTCGGAAAGCACAACAGCAAAATTAAAAACTAGTTTGACAAATATTACACAATTTATTACGGATTGCAATCACGATATTGATATGTTTCTTGATTATATTACCTTTCCGCTCTTGTTAATATTGGAAAAGGATTTTATTTATAGGAAAAAGAAGGCAACATCAAATGGAATGCCATCTCTGGTGCTAGAAAAGACTCTAGATGCATTGTCTGCTTGTTTTAGAAAGTTAAAATCTATGGAACAAGGGGAAAAATTTATTGCACTGTTCCAATCATTATTTATTATTCATATTGTTTACGCAGATGATGATCACTCAACATTGGAAGTTTTTGTAAATACATCTTCCATTGCATCATCTGAAGAACTCAAACTGTCATTAATTCATGCATTTCGAGACTTTGTAAATTGCCAATGGACATATTCTCACTCTTCCAAACTATTTACTCTCCAAAGTATTAGTATCTTTGCAAGCAAACTGTTAGATGTTGCAGTGAAAGAAAAAAACAGACTTCTTGTTGAAACATCTCTCAGAGCTATTGGTGACCTGTTGACTCTGTGCAGAAAAACTAAAGGTCATTTACCAGATGATAATTTTAAACATATCATTGAGAGCATTTTCCCAGGACTAATAAGTCAAGTATCAAAATTGATCATTTCTCCTCCATTTATTTCAAGAGCAGTACAATGTGCTGCTTTTGACTTGTTTGGAACGGTCACATGTATGAATTGTTCGGATGCACTGAATGGATTTATACCAGAGGTACAAACGACTGAATCTGAAAATAATAGTGAATCATCATTGACCATTGAAAAACTTTCACAAATGATTTTTACTTCTGACGACAAAAAGAAGCAAGTTAAAGCAAAATTTGAAAAGTTTGAACCTTTTTTACGAAAGATTTTCAGTACTGAAATTTACGCTCAATATTCATCAACAGTGACATTTGATCAAGTCACAGAAATACAACAGTGCATGTTAGAAAACTGTGCCAATATTTTAACAGAGTGCTCTCATGCACTCTATGATTCTGTAGATGTACTTGTTGAGTGCTTACTTGTGGGAGGAAGAGACAATATCGAAACTATGGAATATTCAGACTCAATTGAAAGTCGATTTTTAACTCTGGTGAAAAGCATTCCCTCAACATGTAAGACCACCAATGAAAAAGAGAAAACTGTGACCTTCAAACTATTTCATAGCTACTTGGAGTACATTTTAAAATCACAGAAAGGATCCAATTTTATAGCATCAGATGAAATGGTATCAGAAATGACCCTGTCCCTAATGTTATCATTACAAATGGATCACTACAATCCTATAACTGAAGACAATCAATTTCCTAAAAAGATTTTCGTAAATTTTGTAGATGACCGAATGATACAAGTGATATATTCCATTTGTCATTTGTTAGGAAGAAAGTTAAGTCTTCTCTCAAAGCCATATATTGAACATTTGCTTTCAATTGCCTTCTCCATTAGAGGCAAGTCATCAGAAAGTTCTTACAGAAATGAGAGTGTCTTGGTGCTCATTCAAATACTCGAAGGATTATTGCAAGACAAGTCATGTTCTCACAACACCATTCAAGATTTTTCCAAAACTGTAATTCACACAATTATTGATACCATGAGTGAAAAGCTCATAGAGACATCATCGGATTCCATAGAAACTAATTGCTTAATTCTAGAGTGTATGAGCACGGTAGCAAAATTTGTGGATCCAAATCGTCATGATGAAAGGGACATGTTACTTCTTAAAATACTATATCCCATTCTGAACCAACTTGGTTATCCATCCATACACATTCGCCAAAGTTGTTTCAAGACAATTTCTGAAATCTCCAAACATTTTTATCCAAACAAGGAAATATCCTCATCACCAAGAGATTGTGTCATGTATTTGTTGGTGACTAATTTTGATTACATGATTGATGATATACGATATCGATTGAAATATCTGTCCTTATATCCACACATTCCTCAAGTGTTAAATACACTCTTTGAATACAATGTCATTGGAAAGAAATTCACTGAATCTATATCGTATTCAGAGCTGACTAATCACAAGAGAGAAGAATTCTCTGCTCATTTGAATATGGTTTCTATTGTAGATGATTGTATTCAGAGCGTGTTTAATGCCATTGATCAACAACAACAATTTACAGACTCGAAAAGAACAACTCTCCCAACATTATTTTCTATTCTAGGAAATATTATCAAGACACTTCATGTGTTGAAACAAGAACGAGAGTCTCTAGATCTGTCCGAAAAGAAGGAATTAACTGAAAAAGAAATTACAACCATCAAAGCCATTCTCTCCAAATTACAACATTTCATGAATAGCTCTCAAAATTCTCTACTCAATAGTGTTTCTTTTCTTACTATCATTGAAAACGCCATTGCAATGTTTGAACATTCAAATATTCGAGAAGAGGATGAACATTCCACAGGAAATAAGATTTTATCATCCATTCATTTGTTGTGGCCCATGCTCATGACTCATTTGTTACAAAAAAGAACATCCATTACTTTGAAACAGAGAACTCTTGAACTCATTCAACTCCTTGGAACCAAATTTCATGATTTTTTAGGTTCAAGAATTTTATCAGAACTCATACCCTATCTCAATCGAATTCTGAAAGACTATCATCATTCCCAAGTGGAATTGAAATACAAGAAGGAACCAATGAGAATGGACTATTACAAGACAGAGCCTGAATACAAGTATTTGAGAGCAATTTTATGTTTCCTCATTCAAATGTTACAAACAACGACCATGAAAGAGAATATCGAACACTCAAGTTGGAAGGAGTTACAGCTGCAAGTCATAGAAAAACTCAAATATGCTAAGGATGAATCTGTGCCAGAAGAGATTCGTTCCCTGGCCAGCCAGTTGAACGACCGCCTCACCCATGTGGCGGAACACACAGAATCGAATGCCGAGTTTTAAGTACACGTATTAGAATTTTCAAAATTTGCAAGTCATGAACTGACACAATGAAGCGCGCACTACTCCATTTTGATCGAACAATTATCATTGGTTCAGGATGGTACCAACGCTTGGCGAAAGTTCTTAAAAAGATGGTCTCACCACGCCTCAACACAAAGCCGCTGGTTACATTTACAATAATTGCGTTTATTTTCTTCGAATAGACAGACCAGATAGCTTGGACAATGTAAAGAATACTAAAGTGTGTAAAGCAAGAAGGTAAAAGAACAAGAACATTCTCCCGAGTTTGTGCGATAGCATTAAGCTGCTGCATCTATAAATTACCTTTTCGGCTGCTGTCATATTGTTCAGGCGTTCTTCTCTTTCTTTTCTGTGGAATCTCTTGAATGGATCTAATTCTTGTTCGTAGAGCTGTTCATATTTGTTTTGAATTGGCTCAAAATCTTGTGATGACGAGGCGGATCTGTTTGTAGAAGTGTGTGCATTCTGGTTGTACGATTGCAAATATTTGGTCTTCTCATAAAGCTTTAAGTTTTCTTTTCGCAATTTTGATTGCTCATTTTCTAAATGTTCAATGTGTTGTTTGAGTTTCAAGTTCTCTTCTTCCAATGTATTGAATTTATCTCTGAATCTATTTCGTTGTTCTGTTAGAATAGAAATAAGAGATTGAGGTTCTAAGCTAGTGTTCACTTCTTCTGTATTGGAGGGTAGAGTGGATGATTTTGTGAGCTGATCCACACTTGCCTCAAGCTTTTCAATAGTGCGCAATTGTTCTGATGCCTTGACTGAAAGCTCATTGAGTTGAGTATTGAGAGATTCAATTTTTTCGTCTTTGTCTCTATTGTTTTGATTAGATTTGGTGAGATCATTTTCCAACTTTATCACCTTCTCTTTCAACAACTGCTCTACAGACTTTTCTTGAGTGTTTGAGTCGTATCCAAACTCTAGTTGTTGAAGTGTATTAATTCTTTCTTGGAGTTTTTGGAGTGCTTCTCGTGTTGGTCGTTGGGTCATTTCGTTCTGTATGTTTAAGATTATTTGTTGCTGTTGTTGTAATTGTTGATGCAGTTGTTGAATTTTGTGATTTTTTTCTTTTACATCTTCCTTAAGTTCGGATATCTTCTTGAGATATTCTGTTTTCATTTCATTAATGACTATTTGTTCATCCAGAGAGCCATCCAAATGCTCAGTGGCTGCTTTCGTTTGGCTTTTTAGCTCTAAAATTTGATTCTCTAGCTGTAATACTTGCTCTTGATGCAAATCTACTTGATATTGACGTGACGCTTCAATCTCTTCCAACCTGGTTTTCAACTCATAATTTAAATTTTGAGTATCAATATACAGGTTGTTTAGGCGCTCATTTTCTGCTTTGATTTCTTTCAGCTCATTGAGAATAATTATTTCACGGTCTTTATGTTTTTGAATGATAAAGTCATGTTCTTTTAGCAATTCACTTTGGTTCTTGTACTTGAGTGCTTCTTCTTCCAATTTCCGAATAGTAACTTCTTGATTTTTTAGATGCATAAATTCGTTTTCATAGTCATTTAACTGATTTTTCAATTCAGATATTGTCTTTTCGTATTCTTCTTGGTTATTTTGCTGTTGGTTTTGTTGGAATAACTGTTGATATTTACAAATAATATAATAAGGATCGGGAGCTTCCCGAAGTGGTTGGTACAGATCTAAAAACAATTTTTCTGCACTCATGCTTCTGTTGGTTAGAGAATCAATTTCTTCCTGATATGCCTTTAATACCTTTTGGAATGAGCTGACCTTTTCTTCATTACTCAGTTTTTTAAAGTCCTTTGTGATTTGAGCAAGGTTCTTTCTGTTAGCTGCTGATTGTTCTCTTGATTTTGAAATATTAATTCCCTGAGAATCAAATAAATCTCTCTTCCGATCCAACTCAAAATTCTTCCAAATGTCTCGACATTTGTTCATATCACTCAAGTACATGGTTGTTATTGACGACGGAGTGTTCATCACGGTTGTGTTTGTTGATGATGACTCCGTGGAAGATGAAGTCGACATTTTTTTAATCAACAGCGTGTTGTTGGTGAATAATAATAATTATCAGACAGGCTCATAGTGCATTTTATTTTCTCGAGGAAATCATTCCGATAAAAAAATGGTACGTGTTGGGTTGAAGTAATAATTTGTCTGAAAAATAACACTAACGTATTCATCAGTCATCATCGGATCAAGCAAACCAATTTGAATTATTAAAAAACAAATTTGTAGGAGTAGGACATGCCGATACCACAAAATTTGAATGGGCTGTAAATCAGCAGCGAGATACATATTCTTCTTATGTTTCGCATTACCCAATGGCATCATATTTTGCTATGATCGAAAACGAATCGATTCATAGAGAGAAGTATCAATTCATTGAGAGGATGATTAAACCATGTGGAAACAAACCACAAACTAAATAATTATGAAAAATTTAAAATTGACATAATAGATTACACACCATTAAATAATTAAATCTAATTTATATTTACAATTAAACTATTATTTCAGAAGAGTATACAACAAAACGAACGAGACGACGTGTAAAGCCAATTCAACTTTGTAATTTCTAATGAAGTCCAGAATGTATCTAGTGAGTGAGGTCAAAGATGAGATCTTATTTGAAGGTTTTTGTTGCTCTGCTTTGTGCTCCTGGTGACCTATTTGAAAATTATTACCATGAGTTCCATGACTTTGCAGTGGTGATTCAGAATGTTCAAAATTGTTGTGAGAAGGGTACATGCTTTCATACTCATCATGTGAAGGTTTTGTGATGTACATGGACGAAAGTAATGATGAATAAGCCTTTGATTGTTTAGCTGTTTCCATTCGTGCTTCTTGTTCTAATCTATCATGATGTAATTGTTTTTCTAAAGTTCTTCGTTCTTGTTCCGAGAGTTGATTGTGATCGTCAAAGAGTATCTCGTTAACCTTATCAAACAATTTCAACTTTAAACATAATTCAACATAAAGTTTGAGAGATGGAGAAGGGATATTATTTCTTGATTTTTCAAAAAGCCGATGAATTGCTGAATAATCTTTTGTTTCATAATAACACTGAATAAATATTGAGAAAATATTCTGTTGTTGAGATAAAGACAATGATGTATTACAAGCAATACTGTTCCAATCACTTCCAAAATGTTGCTGAATAAAAGAAATACATTGTTTAAATTGTTTGAGTACGAAATATGTTTTCAATTGTTTCAATGACAATGGAATATGTTTCGGAATGTTCTGTTGTGCGTCATGAATTCGACAATCGCTATGCACCTGAGCGGATTGTTTAAACATTTTTTTTTGAATGGGGTCACCCTCTTCAAACAAAGCAAACGATATTCATAAGAATGGAAGTAGTTTATTTCAATACAGGTTTTAAAGGCATGTTATCTGTCAGGTAGATTGTAGTTGACAATTCAAAAACTGTGATGATCATCAATTTGAATTGTTAATCTCTTTCTCTAAATTCATTTTGAGATTACCCATTTTTGCAAGTGAAGACTTGAGCAAATCAAGATTATTCTGAATAGACTTGGTGAGTTGAATCAATTTGTCTTGGCTATCGAGTATATCAACTGTCTGAGTGTAGGGGTTAAATTTAAGTTGGAAAGGTCTTTCAGTGGAATTGTTTACAAATCTCCGTATCAGATCCTTACAGGATTCAAGACTTTGAACAACGTAATAGACTGGTTGGTAGTGAGTAATAGGATACGGTCTCATGGCTGCATCTTCTGGCACAAAAGGAAGATACTGTGGCACTTGATCTGTTTCTGCCGATCTACCTGTGCAGCTATATTCCAGCTCACCAAAGCTGCTTAGCAAACCAGCACCATATGCTTTAATTTGAGCGTCTTCCTTAACAACACCAAATTCAACAGTATACCAATACAACCGAACGAGGCGATCGATTTCGGCATCGCTCGCACCAAGAGAGGCCAATCCAATCTGCTGTGAAAAATCAGCAAAATCTGGGTCACACAACAACACGACATGACCAAGTAGTTCGTGAACGACATCTGGTTCAGGGGTATAGTATGGTTTCGAGTGATGGCGAATGTATTGAGTGCTATGAAAAACGCGAAATGCCAAAGCGTTCAAAAAGTCACGTGCTGTGAGTAAACCAGAAACAGGTCTAATTTTGAAACCTTAAAATTAGGTTAATGATCCACCAGCACCGCACAAAGAACGAACGTACCTGTAGTTGAGGACAAAAACGTGCTAACATCCTCTAATTGTGGAATTGTTTCCGGGGAAAAGCCACAATTTTGCTCGAATAAGGGAAACAAAGAGCAGTATTGTTCACAAGCATATTTTGGATAAAGACTTGTGAGCTTGGTGTAAATTATTTTCCAAGTTTGATTTTCAGATTCAGTATAATCGATTCTTGGAATTGGCGTACCGTGTTTGTAATTCAAAGCAATGTCAGAAATCTTTTTTCTTCGTTCTCGGTATTCGATATCATTAAAACCAGGATGATCACTTTGAAGTTCACCTCCAGCTTCTAAACATTCCCTTGTAAAGAAGTCGATATCTGAAATCTTGGTAGGAAACCATGGAACATTATTTTCAAAACCCAAGTATTTCACGCTTTCACAGACTTTTAAACTTAACATTTCCTTAATTGCTAAATCAACAACCTCCTTATTTGTGTTTTCATCAACATCTAGAACAAAATCAATGACCTTCTTATTAAGCCTATTGGGGCGAGATTCAATCTTGGTGAGGTTTACATTGTGTTTAGAAAACACCTCAAGCGAATTTTTCAATGATGATGTTCTTTGTGGAAGAGAAAGTAAAAGTGTTTTATGGAGTGTTGTTGGGTTTGCAAATTTAGGGAACAGTCTTTCCATTTCTTCGGATGACAATAATGACAATAATAACAATTACAATAAATCGGAGACGAATGATTCGAAGGGAAGAAAAAATATAACACAAGCAAATGAAGGTATTTTTTTTCGCTAATTTTTGTGTTGCCTTGAAAAATCTCCTTTTTGGGAGTGAGGCTTGTGATCCGATCACAGTAGAGGTGAGCCATGACAACACCAGCAACATCATTAATGTTATGAAATTTGCTTTATTAATTTTTTACTAATTTCACAGAGTGGAACGTGAACGAAAAAAGAACAATCCTGCCGCTCTCATTCTTGATGTGGTATAACGTTCAGTCCTCTTCTTAGATCGAAATGAATGAGATCTGGTGTATTGGAGACTGCAGAAGCAGGATCATGCTTGTATGTCATAAAGTGGCCTTGTAATTCAGCACAAGTGAAACGTCGCCGATGCTCCTTGTTCATATCTGAAAAGAGCTTTTGACAAAATTTGTCAGCCAATTCAAACTCATGAGGATAAAAATTGAGAAACAATTCTCTGGTTTGAGTTTCGTCAGCACAATCAATCAGGTACTTAACATCGATCCTGCCTGGTCTGATTAATGCATCTGGTAAGCGGTGGATATGATTGGTTGTCATGAATAGAATTCTTCCCTCTTGAGCTACAACACCATCAATACAATTTAATAATCCTCCCAATGTCACATTGGATCCTGATGTACCTTGAGAAGCAACTTCAGATGTTTCTTCTGGTTCAGCTTTTAGTTGTGATGGATGAACAGTCCTCTTCTTTGATTCAACTGTTGTGAAGCATGCATCAATATCCTCCAATAAAATGATGGAATTGTATGGCGTGTTCAATAGCAGGCTATTCAAGTTGTCATCATTGAGGTTTTTGTTGCTAATGTTGATACAGCAAATGTTTTTATCGAGAGCTCCTGCCAATGCTGTAACAGTACTGGTTTTTCCTAACATTATTGTCAGATAATTCACACCCATCACACACTATTACATACCAGTTCCAGGAGGTCCATACAATAGATAACCTCTTCGAAAAGGAATTCCATGGTCGTTGTACCACTTCTCTAGTGAAAGAAAGTTTCTGGCATCATTCAATAATTTTTCAAAAATGTTAGATTGCAATTTGACAGTATTTGGAGGTCTTTTCAGTTTCGAAATTCTTGGCTCCCAAAAATCGCAATAAGCATCAGGTAGATAAATCAATGTTTTCCCGTGTTTTGACTCTAAATATTTCTGTTGACAGTCTGTAATAAAGTTTTTCAAAAATGTTGGGGATGTGCTCAAACAACTGACAATAAGTTGCTCGTTATGTGATGCAGTGCTTGAACCCGAGTTAGAAGATGCTGCGAGTGTTCTTTCATATTCAATTTTAATGCTTTTTCCCTTGTACTTGAGAAAATGCACTCCTGGTGAGGGAATGAATTTGATTGGAATTGAATGTTTATCCTTTTCTGATGGATTGTGCTTGAAACTTGAAAAATCAACATGTGTTTTTGAAGACAGAATTGCGAAATGATTTGCTTCTTGGCTGTACTTGTTTTCTGCCAACCAAAACATGAACCAGTGAAATGCTTCATCATTACTACTAATATATAATTTGCTCACAAAACTTCTCTGTATGAAATAATTAATACTTGTGTACCAAACGGTTCCTAATCCTAAACTTCCGAGAAATAAATAAAAGTGGCCAATGTTCAACGATTTTGCCATTTGTATAAATTTCATCCACAAACTAGACAATAATGATGCTGGAGAAGAAGAATTATTTTCCGAAGTGAGTGTTTCCACTGTTGTTTGGAGCAGTGTTCCATGATGAACCTGTTGAACCATTTTTTTGGAGGTATGACCCTACGAACAGTTTTGGCTTTGAAAAAGTTTGAGTTAAATTCGAATTTTAATTCTTTGATGCTGTAAATCTTCTTTTTAATTGACCATTGTCATATTTAACGATTAAAGGATCAAAACTAAACTTGTTGTTACTTGAGCTTACAATATTGCGTAATTCTGGAGTTCTAGGAAGCACGTAGTGAGACCAATATTCCCCACTCTTTGGTTTAAAACTTGTTGAAATATTGAACGCAAGAATAGACCAACCATCCACCCCCTCTACAGTCATGGCTTGTTGAGGAATATCCTCACTCATGATTCGTTGTTCAATTTCATCCCTCAATTGCTCCGCATAAGACTTGACACTTCCGTTATAATCCACACCTGAAAAACAGACGTGCAATTTAATACAATTGCATTCAGGATGAGTCTGTAGATAGGGTTCCAAAATTTGAATCAAGTGATTCGCTCTAAGACAAGGTCGTGGATGATTTAAATCGATCATGTGATCGTATCGAAGTCCAAAAGTTCCATCATGAGCGTATATATGCAGAGTAGTATGATATATGGATTTGTTGTCAATACTGGAATACTGTTTTACAAATTCATTGGTCATGTATCTTAGGACATCTTGATCGATTACTCGTTTTGTTTTGTGGAACTGCCCTCGTATTTCAACACAACACACTTTCTTGTAGCTTTGATTTTTTATTTTTGTTGTTTTCACTCTGTGACTTGAGAGAAACAACTCTTCGTTCAATTCTTTGGAGCTCGAGCAAATGCCCTTGTTCGTGGTGATGACGAGTTGCATTGTATTTCTTTTTTTTATCAACCACTGCATCAAGCTCAATTCTACAATTGATGTAGATGTGGAGCATGACAAATCTCGGACAATATATTTGGTCATAATAATAGTTCATTCTGAACACGTTCTTATCTTGGTTCGCTATCTCATTCTTAAAAAAAGCTTACCCGTATTGTAAAATATTGAAGTGCCTTGTCAACCCAACATTAAATATTAACTATTTAAAAAATATTCATCACGTGATTAACAGCATGGTTGTCCTTCCATGCGGCACACCTATGATCGATTCCTGAGTGCGTTCAGCAACCGAGAAGTACCTTCATTGCTCACATGTTTACTACTTGCAACTTGATTTCTCTTGCTTCTAGTACACATGCACACCTTCAAGTACATGTACTACGGTTTACATGCATCTGTATGATCGCATGGCAACATTGAATATATTCCTCTCGCCACCTTCTGTTTTTTTATCCAACATGCACTAGAGAATACAACCATTGCATCCACTGCGAATATTCGGAACAATCATACACCTCGATTCCTTTAGTGGTTCAAACAGTACTTTTTAGGTATTAGCCTAATCCTTCATGATTCGTGCAGGAAAATGAATGTCATCACACACACTCTTCTGTGAGCCATTCAAAGGTTGTTGTCTGCATGAAGGAAAATTTAACCACAACTTCAAGATGCAACTCATGTAAATGCATTCATAATTCAACGTGGAAATTCAAAGAATTAATTCAAATATATACATTCATGCAACCTATAGGGGAAAATTACCAAACACTACATGAATCATCATGATCAGTACTGAACATGTAATTTCATCAATTCATGGCGTTTTTGAATAACATGACAATATGAAATGTGACACTTTCATTGTCCTCATTTGTATGATTGCCATGCTAGGTAAAACCATAATGGACCACTTTCATAGTTCATTACATACATTTTACATGCATGTATTAAATGTATTTTAGGTGTTTGTATTATTTACCTCATTCTATTCATTATAGTATTGAAAGGGGTCGATGTCTTTTTCTAATTGCATTTAGCTCGAGCATGTGAAATACAACTCACTTCTCCTGTCAAGAACACAATTGCCCAAGAGTATCCTAATTTGTATTGTAGGACACTTGAACAACCCATCAAAACCACGAGCATGCACAACAATGGTTTACTTCATGTGTTGTCGGTTGTACCATCCTAATCCCTACATGGATTCGATCGCATGTTATGACACACAGACGGTACTCCCTCTTGTCACTTGCCAAAACCTCTTGTGTCTGCTGGAGCCAAAGAAAAAAAATCATTTTCATCTCGTCTGCAGCTTATCATCTCGCGCTGGCTCAACGAGTGCTTCAAGCGTTCTCGCTCTTCAAACAGTTCAATCACCTTTGTGCCACAACAACAACAACATCAACAACAACAACCACACGAGAGAGAAAACATTTTTCATTCGAACCAATCATTCACAGCAAAACAACCACTCACGATCCAAATCAAAGAACTTTGTTACCTCACTACCAATATCACTCTTACATCAATTTTTATATTGGACTTGTCCTATTTTGTATTATCAAATTAATTTTATTTTAACGAAAAAAGAAAAGACGAATAATTTTGACAAGAACACTCGAGTCACTGTGTACATCTCAAGACATTGGCGTTGTGTGATTCATATTTCACTCTCTTGTTATTAGGCCTAGCCCTCTTCATTGAAACTCTTCCCTTTCTTGAATCATCAACCTTCTTCCAGGTTGGACATTCTTGACATCTTTAGCGACGCGCTCAACCGTCCGTTAAATATTTTTCAATACTTTGGGCGCGAAAAATAATTCACAATATCGTTGTGCTGCTCAGACAGTGTGAGCGTGTGTACAAGCTGTTCACAGAGGCATACCCTCCCGTCAATATTGCAACTACCCACTCTGAGTTTCTCATCATCATCATCATCACCATCGTCGTCGTCGTCACATCACGTTGGCCACAAGATTGATTTCATGCTGCATTTCATTGGTACTCTTGTACAACACTTTATATATTACAACAACAACAAGAACAACAACTTGTATTGAACCATTACATTTCACTCCTTTAGTATTAATACCAAGTAAGCCGAACTATACGACTTTATAGTTGTGTGAATCATCACTACTACTACGACACATCCAAGCCATTAGTGCTATCCGTTCCTTGGAGAATTGTTTCCATTCATACATTCGGCTTGATGAATTGGACCAGATAATTCCACACGCACTCACGCACACACATAACCACATCATCATTAGAGTTTTGATCTCTCATGTTCCCAGCACGAAACATCATTCCCAATCCATTATTGCAAGACCAACAAGACAGGATGGATCAACCACAACAACCATCACAATCGTCGACATTATCGACAACTCCATCAAACATCTTGGCCATGCTCCCTCAACAACAAGGTCATTTGACACAACAACATGTTGCAACGACACATCCATACTTTCCAAATCATCATTTACAACATCATGTTTCAACCACACCACAACAACATGCTCAATATTTCATTTACCATGAAGAAGATGTCTCTCAACTCACTTTACAAATCACTCCTCAATATAGACAATATGTGTTGGAGGAAATGCAATCATTTCAATTAAGAGAACAACAACAACAAATGGCATTGTCACAAAGTACCCATCAAGAAGAAGTGCAACAATTCGAACTGCTCCAATCTTCGTGGCCACAACAACAACAACCAATGGTGGTTATGAACGAACCATTACAGCAGCAGCAACAACAACAACCCTCGATGCTCAGTTCCTTGTGTCCACCTACGGTCATGACAGCATCTCTTCCTCCAACCATATTGCTACCCTCTCAAATGAGTAGTGCTTCAACCACCACTTCAATGATCATTTCGACAACTCCTTCGACATCCTCTTCATTGACACCTCCTAATTCAACTCCAACAACACCTATTGTTGGACCAACCACAGCCACAATGGGATTTCCTTTGAGTGCCATAGGACCATTTCCCAATGCAACAAGTTTTAATTATTCTCAGACCCAACAACAACAACAACAACCTTTTGGAATGGGTATGAATATCTCATCAGCAGGAGTCATTTCATCTTCTTCAACATTGACCACGAGCTTAATTCCAGCATCATCCTCGTCGTCGTCGTCACAACAACACACTGAACAATCAACCACAGCAGGAAAAGTTAAAAAGAAAAAGGCAACTCCTTCAAGATTAACCATTTCATCTGCTTCATCATCGATGAAGAATGAAAATTTAACACCCAATCAATTAGAACAGAGTCAATCGACAATTGCAACATCTCAAACCATGTTCATTGATGAGAAAGGAAGAGGAAGACCACAATCACCAACTCACAAAGCCAAAAGAGGAAGACCACGAGCCAAGTAAGTGTACAAATGATTGTTTTCAAGTTGTGTATTTAATTTGTCTTTCAATTTGTCTTTTCAATTGGTGTTGTTATCATTATATTCTAACTTTTCACACTTGAACAAGAACACCACCCTATGAAGTAAATATAGGTGACAATTTATATGGAACATATAAAAGCAGTAGTAGTAGTTTCAAGACAGAAGGCTCTCCAAGTGGTGCTGGTGCTGGAGTGAAGAAACTAGCGATTCTCACACCACAAGCAAGATTTCAAAACGAAAACCAAAAAAGTGAAAACTCTGCCAATCATGTTCACGCAATTAAGGTTTTTTTGTTGAAGGGATGATTCATCATTATTGTAGAAATTACTACTAATTTTACTAAAGAGCCATAGGTAGTTGATTATTCACTTGACAACAATGAAAGTGCATACTAGGAACCCTAAATTATCGAACAGTAACACAAATATTTGGTTGTTAACATCGACTCAAATCATCGCGTCTCATTGATCAATTTGAACAGACTCTCCTTTTTTCAAGACAATACGGTCAATAATAGAGGATGGAACCCAAGGTCTAACGTATTGAATGAGTAATCTTTCAGTATATGGGACAATAAATAGAAATTGTGAATTTGATCCTTCAGTGTTTGTGACCATTCTTTCAACACATTCTTCTACAGACATGAATTCACTCAAATCTCTCTTCACATGACTGGACTCTTGTGTTCCTAGTGCGTTGAAATGAATGGCGGTCTTGACAAATCCAGGACAAACAAGTGAAAGAGTGACCTTCTTTCCGTAAATTCCTTCTTTCATTAATTCTAACTTTAAAGATTCATAGAAACCATGCAATGCAAACTTGGAGGCAGAGTATGCTGTTCTTCGGATCACTCCTGTCAATCCAGCCAAAGATGAAACTACACAAATATGGCAATTAGTATTTTGTCGTTCTCTCAAGTGAGGTAATAAATAAAACGTAGGAGCAATACAACCATAGAAATTAGTATTCATCAAACTTCTGTGACCTTCAAGATCTTTGGCTTCAGATAATGGTTGAAGACTAGATCTGCCAGCATTCAAATAAATTGTGTCAATTCTGTCATTCAAATAGCTTAAACTCTTTTCAATTAATTCTTTGCAATCACTTTCTACTGAAACATCAATTTTAAGGCAAAGAATGTCATGACCTCTTTCTGAATATTCCTTTAACAAGGTCTCTTTCACTTCATTAAGTTTTTCTAAATTACGAGCCGCAAGAACAATTTTGTTTTTTCTTCCAATTTGACAATAATGTTTCACCAGTTGCTCACCGATACCAGAACTTGCACCCTAAAGTGACACATTGACGTCATTTCATAATTGTGTAAAATCATCATCAATGAATGACTTACTGTAATCACCACATGCTTTCGGGACAAGCACTCTTCGGAATTGACCTTCTTTCTTTCCTTCTCAAATTGTAGGTATCGGTAATAAAACAAACCACCACACAACAACACAGGAATCAATAATGCCAATAAGAGAGTGAACAGGAACATTTTTTAATGGGTGAAGGCGAGAATGAGAAATTGCTCATCACAAAGAGATATTAAAACATATTTTTAACGACGAACCATAATGGAAAGGTACGGAAAAAATTCTTCTTGACCCCGAGAGCGTCGTCTTCCATCAGTCGTTGGGATTAATTGCCAAAACACAGAAATGATGAGAATATCATGACGGTCTTCTGCAAGAAATAGTGAAGATAGCACATGAAAAACCCAATTAAAATACTGACTGCATGCACTTATCCTCTTGTTGAGTCCTTGTATGGCCAAAAGGAAAGGAGTTTTTTTAGGATATCGATAAGGCAATACTAGTAAATTACAAAAAAAATGTCTTTCAATTTGACCTCTAATGGCAGTGGTTTGGTGAACAGGGAGGATCAACAGCATCTCGGATTTGGAGCTGATTCATCAAAGGATCGTTTGGAAGAAGAAATATCAAAGAATCACCATGACGGATCGGAGAACAGCAATCATTCTACTCGTCAGGACAATTATTCGGACGAAATTAGTGATAAATCGTCATCAATTTTGAAATTTTTATTCGGAAATTATTCTCCAAGAGATACCATAAGGAATATTGCTATTATGACCCTAACTGTATTATTGTGTAGCATTGCCTGTTTATTTATTCTCATGCTGTTAACTAAGGAAGACAAATCAAAATATGCTTTTGCGTTTTTAAGAAATGTATTACCTTCTTTTTTGTTTCATGAAAGTGATGGGATGAGACACGAGTCCGAATTGAAACGAGTGGAAGAAGCATCACTGTATCTCAAAGACCTACCTCAAGAATTGATTACTGTTTTGGAAAAAAGTTTTTCTAAAACACGGGAGGCAGACCGTTCTAATTCAAAGACAACCTCTCGATTTTGCATTGGGATTCCAACTGTTAAAAGAGGAGTTGATTATTTACACGTTCTATTACAATCTATTTTGGCAAACACATCAATGAGCGATTTAATTCCAACTTCAAATATTGCTGTTAATGTATTCGACGCAACAGGAAACGAAAACTTCTCACCGCATGTAGAGTCTATTTCACACTTGAGAAATGTATTCAACTTTTTTAGAAAATCTGATATTACTGAAGACAAATATTTTTTCCATAACTCGTTCTCAAACATTGCTGCAAGCCAACTTCCATACCATCAAAAGCAAGCTCTTGATTATATCACAACATTAGAGTATTGTCAAAAATATTTCCCTCACATGGAATATACTATTATTTTGGAAGATGATGCAGTCGTTCCAAAGGGTTGGATCGACTCGATTCGTGAAATGATTAACACTTTAAACAGGGACTACTACATGTCCAAAGATGAAGAAAAGATACGACTCTTCAAAGACAAAAGATTTATGTGGATCAAACTCTTTTTTGCTCATGCTTACAATGACTTTAATGAAAAGAGAATTCATGTGCTTTCGAATGTTGCTATTGTAACATCATTAGTGGTAACTTTGGGCTACATTTGGATTCAGTACAAGCGGATTAAGAAACGAGGAGATACCACCATAGTCCTCAATAGATGTACCATTTATTGGTTTGCCATACTGACCTTTGTAATTTCATTGCTCTTCCTGCTTCTGATGCGATTCCACTACCTAGAAGCAAAATTCATAAAACTTACGAGATTCTTCTCTGGTGATGGAGATGGAGCAGTTGGCAGAAAATATCATCTGCAAAGAGACTTTCCACATTATGGAAGTGTAGTAGCAATGGTATATCCGAATGATGCTTCTGTTATTCAACCATTTATCAATTACCTTAGAGAGTGGCAACCCAAAGCCAATAGAGAATTTCCGAATGATAGAATAATTTACAATTATGTTGCATGGTTCAATCATAAGATATTGGATAATTTCTTGTCAATACCAGATTTAGTGGAACATATTGGCTCTGTGAGTTCGAGAGATTACTATTTCTAGTTCAATATTGGATACATCTGGTGCCTCCTTTCAAAGGACAAATTAATTATCTGAAATACCTAGCAAACGTTGTCTTCTTTTTCTTTCTTCTAAGGACAGCTGTTGGAAATCATCCGTGCTATAGTATTCAACTTTTGGCTGTGGAACGGTGTGTGATGTTTCAATTAGATTTTGAAAAATTAAAGGAAGAATAGAATTGAAGGGAAGATTGGATGAATTGGTTATTTCGCTTTGAGTGAGTAACGATCGGATATATCTAACGCGATCATTATTCCTTGTTGATTCTAAATTCTTCGGAACTCTTGGCAAACCATTGGGAAAGAACAGCAGCTGTTTTTCATCCGAGCCAAATAAATTATTCTCCAATATTTGCTCTTGCATTGGAGGTGATTCATATGTAGGATTAAAACTTTCACTGTCGACGTTTCTGCCTGATAGTACCACTCTCATAGCATGCGCAAGGTTTGACAACAACGCCGAGTTGATGAATGAGGCCATTTTTTCTTACTACGAAATTTGGCTTCGCATTCTTACAAAAACACTAGGCAGGTGAGGTAAGATTTCATGGTAACTAATATTGCCGTCTCCATCCACATCACAATCATGTAGCATTTCATCCACAAGTTCTGAAATATTGTCTTCGTCTTCTGGAACGTCACTGTTCTTGTATAGAGCTTCTTGTACATCCTGAATAAAGTCAACGAGTTCATTTCTTTCAATCACTCCTGAGCCATCTTTGTCATAATATTCAAAGATATATCTTAATAACCTTGATTGTAACTTTCGCTGCACGGTCGTTATTTCTTTTGTGTCAAAAAATGGAGACGGAGAGTCATAGTCGCTGTTAGTAAGCACAGTCATAAAGAGACTAATGTCTCGCAACAGGTTTCCTGTGGGTTTAAAGTCAAAGAAGGTAAAAAACCAATCAAATTCCTTTTTCAATTCTCTTGACTTGAGGTTTCCAATAAACATTAGTTGTTCAGTCGACAAATGTGGATTAAACACGACATTCGACTCGTCGAGCTGACCCTCAGCGTTTAGAATTGCTCCTTTCATAATGTTTGAACTCCAAAACAGCTCAAAGCTTAACTTTTGATAATTCTGAGCTCTTATTAAATTTTGTAATCTTTCAACAATATCATTTACATCCTCTAAGGAATATGGATAAATCCATATCGTTGCAATTCAACAACACTTACTATCTGTAATATTTGTATGACCGCACATATACAGTAAATCTTTACAAAACTTTTTCAAATCTGACGCATCTAACCATCCACGTTTATCTCTGTTATATGAATCAAAAACTATCTTGGACAGTTTCATAGAGACTTCTTCTTTTGACTTATTTTGATCAAAATAATTAATGATTGCATTGACATTTTCAAAAACATTGTCATGAACTGATAAATCGAAAAACTTCATAATATTTTCAAATTGTTTTTTCAACTGTGCGATTTTGGGGTTTCTTCTCCGAACTCTCCTCTTCAGATTAATTATTATAGATTCCTTGGATAACCGAAGAGTATGTGGGGTTTCTCTGTCTTCCTCTTGTTTGTGTTTTGCTTTGAACGGTTGGGAGATGGTTTTACTGGGAGATACCATGATTACACTAGAATCGCTCCCTTTGGAATTTGAAAAGATGGTTCTGATGGACATGGAAGACCCTGCGGATTTTCTTGATATTTCTGTTGTTGGTGATGACCAATCGCTATTCGCTGCAGAAAATGAAGAACAAATGCCGCCCATTTTTTTTAGACTTTATCATGTGCTCATCTCGGATCATGGCGACCTTAAACAGAGGTGATTTGCCTTAATAGATTTTATATTACGAAGCACTTGATCGTTTTGTGCGCACATCGGGCAAGAAGATTAAGAGTTAGAGTTTAATAGATAGAATTTTTGAATGGCAGATGATGTATATATACACAACCATTTTACCAAACATCTTTGCATAATCGTCGTTCAGATTCCAATAGCTCTACTTGGTGGCTAGCGTCTTCTATTGACTTGCATTGAGGATGATAATTCAAGAAAATACTTCTCAATGTGGTCAACACAGAAGGACACATTGAAGATCCATCTCCACAAATATAAAAATATGCATTGTCTCTGGTTAACAATTCATAAATTGATAATGAATGTTCCAATAACAGGTCTTGCACATATACCTTTTTTGAGGGATTTTCACGTGAAAAGGCAACGTACAGTTCGATATCTCCCTGTTCGCTCCACTTCTCCAATTCCTTGCGATACAAGAAATCTTTGTTTCTATCCCTACATCCATAGAATAGTAAATTTCTTCCTGTCGATTTTGTGAATAGTCGTTCCTCAATAAATCCCTTGAATGGTGCAATTCCAGTACCAGGGCCAACCATGATGATGGGCACTCTAGTATCTTGAGGTAGTTTGAAAGTAGTGTTTGGGGAAATAAATACTGGAATCTGATTGGCTCGTTTGAGAAAATGAGTGGCTACTCCATGACGTGTCTTATTGTTGGCCGACTTATATGAGACAATTGAGACAGTGACGGATGCCGTCTCATTACTAGTAAGACTCGAAGACGAGCTAATTGAATAGTATCGGGGAAGTAATAATTTTAAATGTTCCAAAACGTCTTGAATGGAAACGGTGTTAAGCTTGCTCCACTGTTTGTTCTCTCTATCAAAAATGAGAGGGACAAGATAGTCTTCCAATACATCCTGTAGCCATCGTTCTTGTAAATAATGGGCACATACAGACTCGTCCTGCAAAATACATTCCAATTTTGATTTAACACACTCCAGTCCAGTAAAATTTTGTTTCTCCCAAAGAAGTCTGATGAGTGCAATATTAACATTTTTCAAATCGTAGAACCTAGTTAAAGCATCTTTGAGAGTAATATATTCAGGCATGGCTGATAAGATATGCTCTTCAGCAATATCTATTTTTGATTTGTCATTTGGTGAATAGTAATTGCTTGGAGTTTTCACAAGAGGAACGTTGGAGACAGAATGTTCACTTGTGAAATATAACCCTAGATACTTAACAAGAATGTCAACAAGGTGTGGATCGTTTTCTGGGAGCACACCTAACGCGTCTCCAGGTAAGTATTTCAGTAACTGCTGAGCACTTTGAGACTTTTCGCTTGTGGTTGGTGCAGGAATAATTGACGAGGATAGATCCAAACAGAAATGGATACATTCTCGAATGTCATTTTGATCTGAGGTGTCGTTGCATAATTGCCTTTTTTCAATGATAGTGGCATAGAAAGGATTTGTTCGATCAAAGTTTGACTCTGTAGCTTCTGGTAATTTTACCGAATCTTGTTGAAGATAATCTATGAACTCGTCAGCATTAAACATGAGATTTTCCTCTTGCAACCGTGTCAATAAATTAGAAATCCACTTGTTAATTACTCTCCAATCATCTCTATCGACATCTACTCGTTCCAATAACCGAATACCATTTAAGAATTTGCTCTCAAACAAAGAATCTAGAGTTTTTCCCGCTCTACAAAAATGTGAATAGCTCTTGTCTCCAAGAGCCAACACAGAATAGAATAGCTTGTTACTCGTGACAATTTCATGCTGCTTCATCGCTTGTAAATGCTCAAAAAAAGAGAGAGCGCTATTTGGTGGAACTCCTTCACCATATGTTGAGCAAACAGTAATAACGCAAGTTTCCTTGCTCCAATCAATTATTTTGAAATATTTCACGTCTAATAATCGAGGTACGTAAAGAAAGCTCGAGGTTTGTAACCTGTTAAGCTTGTCCACAATCATCTCACAAACTTTTGTTGCCACTTGCTTACTAAATCCGAACTCGGTACCAAAAAGCACGAGAATGTTAACAACTTTGCGGTCATGTAGTTGATTTTGCTGTTTCATCATTGACAGAGATTCAATGTTGACAGTTTTCGGAGTCCACACAATTTTAGGTTTCATTAGCGAAATCTCTGATTTTGAATTTTTGGAAATTTCGTGATCTTCAGCACTTGATTCTATAAATTCTCTGGTAAGCTTCACTTGTTGATAGATTTTGTAAATGACTGTGGTTGAGAGACCTGCTACCAACAGCCCAGACACTAATTTCAACAGAAGAATCCATTTGGATGATGATTGTATTCTTTTCCGAGTTCTAGATTGTGACGAGGATTGGGAGCTAGACACATCATTTACGAGCTCTGCTGCTTGTGAAAGAGAAGCCACTCCATTTGTTAAGTTGTGTTGAATGAATGTAAATAATGAAGAAGAATAATTCTTGTTTTTTGATGCTGCTCGAGGCTGTGAAGGCTTTGTATTGAGTAGAATTGTTTGTGGGAAGATATTTTTGATTAGTACCTTGTGGCTTGCGAAAGATAAAAGGTCATAGGAACTACAAAGTTGAGATTTGGCTAGGGAATTAGAAGACTGTCCTTTTGTTGATGAATTGATAATATGCAACAAAAATTCAAGAAGGTCAGCCATAGATTTGTTGTTGGTGATATTGATGCTTTTTTTTGTTGGTGTGATCGTTGACATTTTTGAAAGTTTCATCAAAAGTGAGGGATGCGCAACTGGAATTTCAAGGAGGTTCCTTGGATTCTCAGTTTTAATATCCGACCCCATACTAATTCGCTATTAAATAACAGTAGGGAATGAAGAAGCTTCTTGCTCTGTTCATCAACGGATGTATTTTTCAAACAAACCTCAATAATGTAGCAAAAAGCTTGGCTATTGGTTGCGTATTTTTGTTTTTTTTAAGGTTGCATAAATGAGGCAAAGAAGATGGTATTAGCCATCAGGAACAATCGTACGATCCAACATTTCAATGAGGTTTGAGGTTTATCTATTGTTGCAGAAGTATTCGGCTATCAATCCAAAGCTTTATCATTTCCAGTCGTCATCAAATATAAAAAATGTCTGACGACGTTATCGCCCGACTTTTCAATCATTTCGACAACAATACCAACATCAACGGCAACAACAACAATAACAACACGAACAATGCATATAGCAATGTCAATAACAAATTATCTGCTTTGCAAACAAATACGTACCTTCCCCTCCCCAATGGCCATGGATGGACATCACCTGTTCCGAGTAGACTCAGTTCCCGACAACAAATGAACATGGAGGTTTTAAAACGAAAAGACAAGTATATTAATACGATCCACACTGTATACGATCATGTAGTGTTATACAAATACAACAAATCGGAATGGGAAAAACTTGATGTGGAAGGCGCCATGTTTATTGTCGAAAGAACCGAACCCAAGTCTCCTAAATATCGAATTGTAGTAATGAATAGAAAGAGTGCTACTGATTTTCATCAAGATATCACCAAAGATTTAGAGCTAGAAGTACACCATCCCTTTGTATTTTACAAGACGAAAAACATGATTCGCGGAATATGGTTCTACAAACCTTTACAGTGTATTGAATTTAATGATTTAATTGTTTCTTTTAAAGAGAAAGCATATGGAAAGACCAAAGAAAACAAATCCACAAGCTCGCCTCCCGTGTTGCACACATCAATTTCGCCAAGCGACGGTGCAGCTTCTAGTATTCTAAAAAGTATGCTAGGAATTGGTATCAATGGATCATCATCAACTCATAACCACCATCAACTTCAATCGGATTTTACTCTCGATCACTCCTCATCGGCTACATTTATTTATAAAAACCCTCAAGGTCAAGCACACGATGAACATGCAACAAACCTCGCCCAAAGCGCAGCCAAACGTTTTGAAAACCAACAATTTGAGTCAAAAGAAAGCTTTATCAGCAATCTCCTTTTTGTTCTTGCCGAAGACGAAAAGTTTCAGGATCTTTGCTATGAACAGTATTGCAAAATACACAATAAAGCTCAACAGAAGCAACGCTGAGTCAGCTTTGAAGAAGACGGTGTCAACAACAGCTATCGCAGTTCGATAATTCAAGGACGTTGTGAAAAAATGTCTCGATTTCAAAGCACATCCTCTTGTTCATCATCATCTTCGGGAGGAATCATCTCCAACATTCTTCATATGGATGTTCTCACCTTTGGCCAATATGCTCTCTATGCAGTGATTGGCTATTACGTGATTAGTTTTGTGTACAAGTTAATTTTTGGAAGAAGCTACATGTGGAAGAACGTTAAGCCTTTCGATACTCGACTTCGTTCTTCAACTCCTCTCAAGGAATGGGTTGAGAAAACCAGAAAGAACCCACAAGGAAGACAAATGATTGAATGTACCAATCCCGGAACGATGGAATCATTATGCGAAAAGGTTCCAGCCATGAATGCTCAAGACGTGGAAGAGAGAATCGGCATTGCAAAGAAAGCCTTTGAAACATGGTCAAAGACTTCATTTGATGATAGAAAGAGAGTTTTATTGCACTTGTTGGATAATATTCTGAAGAACAAGCATGAAATTGTTGCAAAGAGTTGTAAAGACACTGGTAAAACTCTTTTTGAAGCTCATTTAGGAGAAGTAGTCATGACTTGTGAGAAAATCAGATGGTTAACAACGAGAGGTCAACAATTTCTTGAACCAGAAACTAGACACGTTCCACTCATGATGATGTATAAGGTTGGTCAAGTTCATTATCTTCCTCTCGGAGTTGTTGGTATGATTGTTCCATGGAATTATCCTTTCCAAAATGCAATCAATGCTGTTATTGCTGCACTTTTTGCTGGTAACAGCGTTGTTATTAAGGTGAGCGAATGGGCCACTTGGTCGAGTGTTGAATTGTATGAAGAACTTGTTCAAGATGCATTGGTGAAGGCAGGATTCTCACCTGATATTGTTCAATTTATTGTTGGATTTGGTGAAGCGGGTAATGCTCTTTCCAAGTCAAAGAATGTGAGTCATGTCTTCTTTATTGGTTCTCCAGAAATTGGAAAGAGGGTCATGCTCGCTGCAGCTGAAAATCTAACACCAGTGACCTTGGAATTGGGAGGAAAAGATCCATTGATTGTTTGTGATGACGCAGATATTGATATTGCTGTGGATGTTGCTGTGAGAGCCTCCTTGTACAATTGTGGACAAAATTGTGTTGCTGCTGAGAGATTGTATGTTCATGAAAAGATTCATGATCGATTTGTTGCAAAAACTCTTGAAGTTGTCAAGGGTTTGAGACAAAGACCAACATGTCCAAAAGCTTGTGCTCTTTCGGACGATGAAGTCAATGATATTGGTGCAATGACTATGGCTACATCTATTGAAAAGATTGAAAAAGTTATTGAGGAAGCTGTTCAGGGAGGAGCAAAATTGTTACACGGTGGAAAACGAAATCCAAAATTGAAGGGACAATTCTTGGAACCTACTGTACTTGTGAATGTCAAAAACGATATGGGTGTGGTTCAAGATGAAGTATTTGGCCCTGTGGTTGTGATTGTTAAATGGAAGGACGACGATGAAGTCATCCGAATGGCGAATGGAACTTGTTATGGACTTGGATCCTATGTCTTTTCTGGTAATTCAAAGCGTGCTGAAGATCTTGGACGTCGTCTTTATGCAGGTTTAACAATGATCAATGATTATGGTTTGAGTTACTTAATTCAAGATTTGCCTTTCGGAGGAGTTAAGGTTTCTGGCTTTGGTAGATTCAATGGTCCTGAAGGTTTGAGAGCTTTTACAGTTCAAAAGTCGTTTGTGACCAACAGATTCCCAATTAACATACCTCCACCAAAGCTTATTCGATATCCAACTGAGAAATATGCTCACATGATTGTTGCCCATTTGGTTGATTTGTTGTATGGACCATGGACTGGTACTCTTGGAGCTCTAACTAGATTAATTAGCACATTTATCACAAAGAAGTAAATTCGTATCCTTATTTATTTTTTAGTTTGCTCTGTAGTTGGTGTTGAAGGCGTAATGACAATGCCATGATCTTTCAGGTATTTCAGGCAATGTTCTGCAATGGTTGAAGTCGCTTTTGAATCAGCAACCTGACTGCAATAATCATAGATGAGTTTCACATCATCCAAATTGTTGCATTTCACAGCAATCAAATAAGCTGCCTTGAATCTATTACAAAGAAGACAAGCTCTAACTTTCTTGGAGTCATTTCTCAATTTAGCAATGAATTTCTCAGCATTCTTTTCATCGTTCATTTCTTTGATGTACAATTTGATGATATTGTTAATGATGACGTCCCAGTCATCATCATTGATCGGAGTTCCTCTTATTTGTTTAAGAAGGTTTTCAATCACGGGAATTTGCTTCTTCCTCACTAGTCCACAAAGAATTCTAATATATAATTTTACAATCGGTAAGTGATATTCAGAGGCAATCCTAAACGAAAGATCAAACGATTGAGTCAGTAAGTATTCGGTAATTTCACACTTTCCTTTAGCCGAATCGAATAAACTTAATCTGGCATTCGTTGTTGGACTCGCAATATTTCCAAATTTCTTTGTGACTTCCATTTGTAAATTAATAGTTTTGATGTATCTGGAAATTTCGTCTGGCTTCAATACTTGTTTTTGTTGAATATCATTCGAATCATGTGATGAAATATGTTGTAAACCTTGAATGAAATGTTTCTTTGCGCCTTCCAAGTGAGCCAATTGAGTGGTTTGTTCCTCGCTCTTTAAAAAGAGTCTAATTTTCGTTAATCCAGCTCTAATGTTATCATCCATAAATACTTGAAAATCGTACAACAAGTTAAGAGATTGATTTTGGTTTAAAAACTTGCAAGTAGCAGTTAAATAAGGATAACACTTATTCAAAGTATTGTCATAGTGTCGAATCACATTTTGCAAAAATGGCATCAATCCATGCTTCACACAGTAGGTAACAATTACATCCACAAACAGCGCTTGTGGCATTTGCTTTTTAAATAAATACATCACTGCAGCATCAACTTTCCCATTTCTTACGAGGAATGAAAGATACACTTCGCTAGATCCAAAATGTTTGATATAATATTGAGCTTCTCTCATTCGTTCTTCGTCAAGATGAGTATGAAGGGAGGATTGTGGATCATGCTTTTCTAAATGAGTTGATTCTTCATTCTTCTTTTTTTTTGAAGGAGAATTGGAGGTCATCAGTGATTCCATGGCTGCTTCTTTCAACTTGTCACTCATCTTTTGATCGATGGCAACCACAGATGGAGTACCTTCGAGTATAGCTAGTATTCTATTTAATAACTGTTGCTTTTGTTGAGGTGTTAACGCTTTTCAAAATTTTGTGTTAAAAATTGCAAACCATGTTGATTGTGTACTTACTCTGACAATATTTTAACTTTTCTCTAGCTTGTTTGTACTTGCCAAGTGATAACAAGGTTATTCCCCACTGAGTCCAAACTGGATCACTTTCAATTTGACATCGAGTCGCAACATTAAGTGCAAGATTCAAATGATCTAGTTGAATAAGAGTGTCTCGAATTTGTCTAGCTCTATTTTGCTGACTCAAATCACTCAAAGAGATGCTTCCAATATTGCAGTTCTGGTAAATGATTTGCTTCAAAATTTCAACATGAGAAAGGATAGTATCACATAAACCTAATCTTTCATGAGATTCTGCATCTTTGCTAAAACATATTTTGGCATATCTAACGATCTGTCCCACTAATGAAATTCTATTTGTTCTTGAAAGATGTTGAGATTTGCTAATTTCGTCACAAAGCGACAAAATTGAATCTCCAGCAAGTTTGTAGTCTTTACAAATATCAAGAATGGATTTTGCCAGCAAAATGCTTGGAGCTTGAGGAAAAGTGAAATACTTTCTAATGGTAGCGTTGTATTCTTCATTGTCGCTGCTGAATGTGCGTGAGCTCTTTTTCTTGGCCTCTTCTTGGAAAACAAGATCAAAGTTTTTCAAAGAGAGTGCTTTCAAGCCATATTCCACAAGTAAATGATCATCTCTAAGTTCTGGAATTTCAGTTAATATCTTTACAACTCTTCCAATTTCGTTGTAAATGATCAAATTTTCCACGATCAGTGATGGTTTCAATAGTAAATGTCCCAATTTCTTCTTGTAGTCATCATCCAGTAATCGAATTACCTTCATGCCTATCAAAGTTGCTTCAAATGAGCGTATTTGTTCTGGTGTAAGCAACTCTTTAAAAGAGCTAAGAATAAATTCACATATAAACATCTTATTCTCATAAATATCCAATCTTAAGAGCACATGTTTGCAAACCGAGAGAGCATTTTCTGGACTCAATCTTGATAAAGCTTGCATGATCTTTGTTCGTATCTTGTCATTGATGGAATTGACCTGTAGCAAGTATAGACAATATTCTTGTTCAATATGAATGATCACTGATTCATAGGTTTCACCACCTGAGCTATTGGCTTTTTGCGAAACCCCTTCTAATAGATTTTTGGAAGCACGTCTTGCCAAGTCAAATTCACACTCAGTAATGAGATCTGAAATAAATCTGTAGGGGTTGTTATCACACACTTCTTTCATTTCAACCCATGACTCATAATTTTCTTTCAGCTCTGAACCCATGACTTGTTTAAATATATAAAGTCTTTCAAGAATTCTACTTGACTTCTCATAGAGTTTTAGCTTGGCCTTGTCATTAATAAAGTAGCTTGTACACATTTTTATCAATTCTCTGTTGTTGTCACACGATTATGCCTTGAAATTATCAAGATAAAAAAACAAGAAACTTACATGCATGTATCAATATCCCATTCCTCCATGTAGACTTCAATCAAGGAAAAAGCCAACTCTTTATCTTTAATCCTAGAAATCAATGTGTGGCAAGTTCCATGATCGTTTTGACACTCAATATAAAGTTTTAACAAAAAGTCAGGAGTGCAGTTGATTAATCCTTTTTCGGCCAATTGAAGCGCACGATCATAGTCATCAATTTCAATTAAATTTTGAATAATCTAAACAAAATGTGACATGACATAAACGATCAAATATTCAATGACACTTACTGCAAGATAAAGAGAGTCGTCGTTCTCTGTACCAATGGCGGTTGCGTTGAACTTCTTCAACGCCTTTCGAACATCAACTTGTTTAGAGAAAATAAAGGCATCTTTGATAGGCTCTATCTTCTTATCTATCCAACGATTCAATATATCATATCGTTTACAATTACCAGAAATTAATTCAAGGACATCTTGATTCTCACTTGAAAAATCTGTGAAATAAAGAGCGGACAAGCTTCCTACAATTTCCGACTTGGATGAAATAAACTTGGCTAAATTCAATGAAATGTTGAGGGGATGCTTTTTCTTGTTCATGTTCGCTGATTCTAAAATAAACGCTAACAAATGTATTCTATTTTCTTCTGACAATTTTTCGGCAGTGACATCTGAAACAGGTAAAAATAGATGAAATTATTCACAAATACTTACAATCTTCGGTTTCAAATACCAGCTCTGTGAGTACACGTGATAATCCCTTTCTAAGAAAGAAAGCTGTTCCTAATGGGTCGGTATCCTCATCTTTAGAAGACAGAATCTTATGATTTTCTAATATCTTTGTCAGTACGTAAGAGATGTAGCTGTATCGTTCGTTTCTATTTTTCAAATTATCTATTAAGCTTTGAACGTTAATATTCTCCAATGATCTTTTGTTTTCTAACAAGCAGAGCGCTTTAAGAGAATAGGACTGTGTTTTTTCAATTTCAATATTTTGCTTGAGTTTTTCTAACTCCTTTTCATTGTGAAAATTAAAAATCTTGCTGTACACTCTATAAATTGGGCCTTGATATGGAAATTCCAAATATTCGTTTAGCATGTCAATCAAAGGTGTTCTCCTTCGTTCCAATGTTCTTAATTGTTTGATTAAAGATTGATAGCACTCTTTGCTTTCCGTTCGTAGGGAAAACAATAGATCAAAGAGTATCACAAAATTTGGCAGTTGTTCGAATACTTGTTGTACATGAATCTCCTTATCGTGCTCAGTATGGATAGCATGCACAAGCTCTGCATTGGTCACTTTGGTTAGAAATTCTGAGCCCAACCCGAACCTTGAAATGATGTCTTTTGCCTGTACAAAAAGATTTTTCTTCAAAGCTACAACCAACAATACTGAAGGAGAGGCAGTCCATAACTGTACAAATTGAGACTGAGACGAGGCCTTTTCTATATCTGTCACAAATAGCTTGACAAGATTAAATCTCCATAGCCCTTCATCTAAAATAGTGTTAAACCTTTTCAATCGATATTCAAGATTGGTATCAAAATTTTCATTAGTAATCTCTACAGCTCTCTGCTTTAAAAATACCAGCACACTATTCAAAACGGTTGGTGATATTATGAGTCTTTGGTCGTTTGTGTCCACTGATGTGACCTGTTTTTGTGTGTTCGAATTTTTGGCAAAGAGGATTTGAAATACAGTTTCCAATACGCTCAATCGGTATGCTGGAATGGGAATATTCAAAATAGAGTTCTCAAGACTTTTCAGTGAATCCACAACAGAAGGTACTTTGTTTCTCACCAATAAAAGAGTTTCATGTACAGCAAAATATGCTCTGATGAGTATTATATCAGTTATTTTCTCTGATTCTTCTAAATCGGATGGAGTTGGGCGATTTCTTATCAGCTCTATAAGATCGTTCTCTCGAATTGCAGGAATCCATGGCATCAGTAGGTACAACAAACTGTGCTTGGGAATATACTCAATGATTAAATTTGCTATTTCCTTCTTGTCTGAGCCTTTGAAATCATTGTCTGCCATTTTCTTAAATTTTGCAATCTTGATCAACTCTTTTGCTTGCTTCTTTTCACTGCTGCTCATTGACCTATTAGCTTCTAGAATAAGTTCAGAAGCATTTGTTGATAACTCAATGAAATAAGCAAGCTCATTACATGTAAACTCAATCCATGGATCATGAGTATAAGAGGTTCTAACGTGCTGTGATTTCCAAAGTTTGTCAACGACCATTTTCAAATTGTGCACGTCGCATTTCAGGTCGTCCCAGCTTAGTAGCAATATTAATGGTCGTAACCTATTGAAATTCTCATGGTTCAACAAGGCAGCCAGATCGTCAAATTGTTTGCTTCTAATTAAATCTAATGCCTTGATCACCCTACTTTCAAAAACGTGGCAATTTGTCACACGCACATACTCAATATAATTTATCCAGAATGTTTGATTATTTACAGGTTTGGAAACAACTGCCTCTTGTCCTGAGAGAATTTCTTCTTCCAGCTGACAAAAATACTTGACCATTTTAAAATCCAACGGCAAATAGTTATGTGCTGTGTCACAAAAAAATAGTGATTCATAGATGAGGTCAATTAGCATTAATTCAGAACGAGAGCTCAATTTTAAATGCTTTTTCGTTATTAACGCTGTAAGAATTGTTTTTAGCACCTTTGAAACAGTGACATCTTCACACCAAGCACTTGGCACAAATCGTAGTAGATAAGCAGCTTTTTCAAATTCCTCATTGCTGAGTACTTGGTTGATTTTATCAATCAAAGTATATCTGTTGTTTACGCATTCAAAAACATCTTTTTCCAAATATGATGCTAAATGAGGACATTTGTCATACATTTCACTTAACAGATCAAGTATTGATTCCTCGATTTGTTGTGTCATAGGACTGGTAGAGTAATGTAACGAGAGAGTAGAGATATAATTTTGATCTTTCATATGTTTTTTTCTTGACAGTAGTCTGAATGCATAAATATTCTTCATTTGACAAATAATATCGGATGAAAATTTTTCAGATAATTTAAAAGTATTGACACAACAATCTAGCAAAGTTTCAAATGATAAAATTTCTGTGTTGTACTTGTTGTGATCCGTAATTGTGCAGGTTTTTGATTGTAATAATTCAGTGTACACACAATAGCAAAACCATTTGAAACGAGAGGTAACATAATTCTTCGGATGTTTCAAATTAACAATGCAGTGATTCAATAAGAACCATGTATCTGATTGTGAAACGTTATTAAAGTACTCAATCAACAGAGCTCGTGCCAATTCATATTGATGCACCGAAAGAAAATTTAATAAACATGTTTTTAATTTGACTCTTTCGTTTTCGGATAGGAATGGATAAGAGGAATGATGTAGTGTAGTGTTATTGGTCATCAAATGATGATGAAAATCATGTTCGTTATGTGACTGACTCATTTGTAAAGATGAAGAAGTGTGATCTAACACCCGTTGTTGTTGTTGTTGTTGGAGAGAAGAGCCTTCTTCGTATTGCAATGATGATGATGCAGGTCGAAAAAGGCTGCTCATATTTTTTGTAATAAAAAATCCAAAGCAACACACAAGGAACGAGATGCAATCAACAAGCACTCTCTACATGGAAAATTTTCGCTAGAGTTTTACAGCCGTATGACATCTTAAAAAGAAGTGATTGTAAATGTTGTTCAAGATCTTGAGGTATAAATAATGATGAAAAAGGAGGGCACTTAAAAAAAATGGTATTACCACTGCTCGTTATCTATAGATCTCGAAATTAGCTTAAAACAGCTTGAAGATGATGATCGTCAACGAATTGTTATCCGTTCACCGTCCACGTTCGCAGCAAATAAAAGCCATCCATCCTAATTATTATTTTTATTTTAAAATCCGAAAAAAATATGCCACCATCCACTCCTAAAACCGATATTTATTTGAACGTTTATGATTTGCAGGTAGGTTTAATGCAATATTTCGTTCCAATATCGTTGATTGCTGATTTCAAATAGGATAATTCTACCATGTATGTTTATGGGCTCGGAATCTATCACAGCGGATTGCAAATTGGAGGTTCTGAATTTACATTCGGAAGAGAAGGAACATTTAGTCACGAGCCAAAGAAGGCTCCGATGGTTCCATTGAGAGAGTCAATTTATTTGACAAGCGTGGAACTTCCAAGAGACAGAATTATGGCTATAGTTGATGAGGTTTCGAAAGAATTTAACAAGCTGCGATATCATTTACTAGATAGAAATTGTAACCATTATGCTAAGGCTTTGTATGAAAGAATATTGGATAGATGTGGCAGACAGGTGAAAGAATCAGCAGTGCCTATTCCTGCATATGTCAATAGAAGTGCATGGTGGGGATCAAAGGTTAAGTGCCTAATGCCTCCTGAACTTTTAAACACACCAGTGCCCTCATCTGCAGAGGGAACTGAGGCTGGTGACGAGGTTTCTTCATTTACAGCATTCCAGGGTAGCGGTAGGACATTAAGTGGAAGAACAGTGACACCAAACGACAAGAAGAACAAGGGTTTTTTCTCCTCCCTTTTTTCTAAGGATGACGCCAAGGAATCTGAAATGAAATATTATGAGAAAAACGAAGAAAAAGATAATACACATAATAGAAGAGAGAAATTGCTGATGGCCGCAGAAAAAAGACTCTCCAAGGCACCAATATCTTCTGATTAAGCTTACTGTATTTCTAACTGATGTAGTATAATTGTAATTAATTTATTATAACAAAAATATTATTCCTTTAAAAAACCATTTGTTTATTATTGATGGGATGAGGCTGATGAGGTGGCTGATGAAATGGTAAGGCTGATGTGGTTGTTGGTGAAGTGGCTGATGTAAGGCTGATGTGAATAAAGTGGTATTGTTGTAAGGCTGATGATTAATTTTGGTTGATCATGCAAAATGTCCATGACGATAAACATTTAAATATTATACTCTTGTCTAAGTTTGAGGGTGATATCTTCTGGGATGCTAGATAAAAATGAGGACCATGCTTGCTCACCCATACCTTGCTTAAATCCTTGAAGAATGTTAATAAATTCATTCTTTAGCTCTGGGCTTGGATCTTTGCAGTTGGAAATGGCATCTAGAACATATGGGAAATGTGGAATGGCTCCTTGAGGGTTTTCTCTAACGATAGCACATAATCCGGCATATCCATGTTCTCTTTCTATTTTGTTGTTGATCTTCGATAATCCCAAGCACAAGTTTTTACAAATGGTTGGCAATTGTGTGGAAACTATCTTTGGACACACCAATCCTATTCTACCAATAGAAACGCTAAGATTTTCAACCAACGTAGAATAAGTGTTTGATGCATTGATAATTGGGATCATCTTAGCCAGCATTTCAGTGGCGTAAGGATTAATGTCACTACCAATCTTCGCTGTAATTTCACCAAGTGCCCAACACGCGTTGCTACACACCGAAGCAGTTTTAGCATTGAGATTGGCAATCATGATAGGTAAGAATTCCGAAAGTGCACCACGAAGATATTCAATACTTCCTTTGGCAAGGTCTCCAATGACACCAAATGCACTTTGTCTTACATCTTGAACTTTGTCCTTAATACACAAAAACAAGACATTTAACAACTCTGGTCCAGTAAGAATCAGAGAAGAGGCAGATGATCCTAAACCTTCCAATATTCCTCCAATAAGATCCAGAGCACAAATGACAAAATCCTTGTCAGCCTCCTCTGGATTCTTTGCCTCCATCGCGTATGTGGTTTGAATAATTTTAAGGCATCTCTGGAATACTGGAGCAGCAAAAGATTGGAATCCAGATTGAAGAGCAGTTGATACACCTGTTAAACACTCAAGAAGTGGTAGCAAGTCCTTATCATCGTCAGACAATGAGTTCCATTTAGTGATTAGTGGCGGAATGATCAGTTGGATAAAGACTGGCTTATTCAAATGAGCTCCAACAGAGTCAGATAATGTTCTAATGGCATCATACAAAATAAATACGTTCTTCTTTTGATAGATTTGGAAAGCACTTGCAATAGTTTCCAAAACTGGCTTAAGATAAGGAATTAAAAGAGTCTTAGCATGGTCTTCAAGTGTTGCAAATGCAGAACTTGCTGCTTCTTGAACAACCTTGTTCTTGTCCAACATTTTCTTAAGGATGGCTGCCAACACTGGTTCAAAGTATCTATCCAATGGTTGTTCTACAATCCATCTCGAGTATCTACTCAAACTCCAACATGTAATGTTTCTCACTAGAGGCTTTTCATCATCGATTAAAGTAAGCATGTATGGAATTAATTTTGGAAGGTGTTGCAGCATGCCAGTCATACATCCCTCTGATATCGCTCCCAACGCCAAAATTGCGCTTTCTTTCACTGGCCAAGGCATCTCAGGAGACATCTTTTGTTCAATTTGAGGTAACAAGAATGGAAGAATGGAAGAACCAAAAATGTTAGATAATAAATCTAGTGAAGTAGCAGCACATTTTCTCAAGCTCCAGTCATCACCTCCATTTTCTTCGTCCCAATCTTCATACTCTTCATCATCTTCTTCGTCGTATTGACCCTCTTCTTCAATAGTATCTTTTGGTCTCACGTGATACACTGAAGGATCAATGTCAGAGTCTCTGTCTGGTCTCTCCGAGTCATGCAGAAGAGATTGTTGTTCAAACTCAGAATATTGCATCTTATCTAACAGAACAGGAACCAATTGAGGCAAATAATTTTGAAGTACTGGATAAAATTGTTGACACGAATTCTTTGGATCAAGATCCAACAAAACAGTCCAGAACTCACATGCCTCCAAAGCAAGACTTTCCTCTCCGGAAGATGTACAATGGATCATATATTCAAATACAGTAGAAATTGCATTTCTTAAATATTCAGGGGTATCTAACAGCATAACAAATGCTCGGCATGAATATTTTCTAAGAACTACTGCATTTTCGTTTGCAATATTGAACAGACTTTTGAGGAATGAGTCCATATTATTCAACAAGTGTGTGGGGAGTGGGTCTAATTGGAAAAAGTGAAGTATTGAACCCAAAGCATCTCTTTTTACATTTTCTGAAGGATATTCCAAAAATCTAATCAAGGTAGGAATCAAATATGCCAGTTGGTCGGCATAAGTTCCTACAAATTGAGAATAGTTATCTTCACAAACTTTGGACATACAATCCATCACACCGCTGATCAGTGTAACATTATTTGTGTTGTTTGTAAGGAGAGAAACGAGTTGAGAAATGCATGTTGGCCAAGCTTCAACAGTATCCCAGTATAGGATAAAAGAAATAAGAGCTCCAGCAGTAGTTCGAATGAATTGAATTTCATCTCCAAGAGCCTCCAAAAGCAATAGCTTCAAGTGTTCCTTTGCCGCATCTTGTAGAGTTACTAATTTTTGTTTCAAGTTGGCCTTCAAAATCAGACCAGCGGCTTGTCTGATTGCAGGCTCAACGTCTTTACATCGAACGAAAATATGAACCAAATAAATGTTAAAGTCGGGAACGTTGTCGTTGAGTTCATTCATTTTCTTGGTACATTCTCGTTGAATCTGAGTATTTCCCTTTCTGCTGTTGACGAGAAGTTCCATCACTTCAAGAAGTCCACGTTGATCGGGTGTCCATGAACTCATTCTCGATAAATTGTGCGTGGTTTAAATATAATTAAATATCAGGATGATGATGGTATTGAGGATTTAGCTTGAAAAGATGAAATACCGTGCTTCACGATTACTATCACTCGCGATTGAGTCTCTGAAAATAGCACACCAAATCCGTCCAACTGTGAATGGTTGTAATCAATCCGAGAGCTTTTAGAATAAAACAAAATAATATTAACGACAACTTGAGCACGGTATGAATATTATTGTTGCAGTTGTTGTTGTTTGCAATAAAAATTTTGCGAGAGATGAAAAAACTCAAGTGTTCCAATGCACGTGATGATGGTGAACCTTGAATGCTTCAAAATTTTTTTGTTTCCATTTTCTCTTCAAGAGCTGCTGCCGTTGAATGAATGTCCTTGCTTAACGAACGCTCATTCATTATTGAAATTGACATTACCTCAAGTTTCACACAAGTGGAATTGTGATGTACAATGATTGCTTCTTGTAGTGAAGAACATCTAACATTTCATTCAAGATTATTGCAACAACTGATACAACACCACTGGTGGCATACTTGGAGAAGAAGTTAATGGATTTCTCCACCCACACTGCCACTTATTGCCTTTGTGTGATAAAAACTTATCAGTTGGAGCTTTTTCACCTGCATGTCTAAAAAAGAGACGATCTGAAACAATGGATTTACAATTTCGAAGGACTGGATCTTCTCTACAATCTTTAAATTCACCCAATAAACAAGATTGAATCATTACATCATGTGGTAAAGGTCTTATACTTCCATCTTCATTCTTAAATAATCTTCCATTTTCAAATGTTGGATCTTTCCTAAGAATTTGAGATAAATGAGGAAGAACGGAACTGTTCATTAATATGGAACTACCTCCAGTACCCATGAATATTCCACACAAATTCTCTGGATATTGTAATTGTGAAATTCGAAGTAATTGAATTAATTTTTTCATGTGCTGTTCACACACTGGAAAATCATCTTCTAATAACAAGATGAAACTCTTGTCACGTACTCGTTTCTCATTTCCATTATAAATTTTCAATAGTCTATAATAACTTTCTCTTAACAAGGATGCAACATGATGTGTTTGTTTAAATACTACTGGAGCATCTTTGAGAGGAAAGTAAAATTCCTTATAACTGAAATACAATGGAATAGATTCAGAAATGAAAGGTTGTAATTCTATGGTTTCATTTGGGAGTTTGGCTTTACGTTTGAATTGATCAAAGTAAGTTTGATTTCCAACAAATTCAAAAATTTCTTCTTCGCTTTCTTCTGATGAATCATTCAATAGGGTTTCATTAATCCAACCTTTGTGTTTAATAAATTGTGAAATAGAATATCGTGATCGTTTTCTTAAATCATCCATAAATTCATAAAGATTGGCATGCTCAGATCCATGATGATTCAAAATAAAGAATTCAAAAAGAAGATTAGAAGAAACATTATTGGAATGAATGTGATGATTTAAAGTTTCATTAGAATGAGTGAATGGTTGATTGGATGGCACAAGTATATCCTCTAACTCGTTAGCCATAGAAAATATTGTTTCTGTGAGTTCTTTATCACGTGACATGTATCGTGGAGCTGTGAGAAGAGAAATTGTAATGTGGATCGGATCCGAATTGGATTCAGTGCGTGCTTTTGATTGTGCAATGATTTGTGTCAAGTGGTTGTTGCTAAACAAATTCCGAAGATGGTGTGAAATGGCAATCGCCGAGAGAAACAAAATGAAGAGGGTGAATCGTTTGATGATATTTGACATTTTTTGCTGATTGTTTATTCGTCGTCTTCAAAATCGTCTTCATCTTGCATGGCATCCTGGTCATGCTCTTCGTCGTCGTCTTCATCTTCAGTAAAGGTTCCTTTGGATTTCAACTTTTGCTCTTCCTTGTCCAAAAGTTCCTCTAGCCTCTTTTCTTCATCACTTAAATCGTCATCGTTTTCCATGTCACCAAACCATCCCTTCTTGTTTTCTTCTTCCAAGCCCTTCAAGATTTCATCATCACGTTCAGCATCATCATCATCAATGACATCATAATCATCTTCTTCATCACTTCTCGATTTCTTCTTATTGTATGACGCTTGAATCATTTCAACAATTTCTTCATCACTGTCATCTGCATTGTCCACAATAGTAAATTTCTTTGCCTTAGACTTGGTGTTGGCTGTTGCGATATTATCCGATGTTGCAAAATCAACCTTTGCATATCCTCCAATAGAAAGCAAGAGATCCAATCTTCCTGAAAGGTCCATTAAGGCTGGAAGCATTCTCAATCTGGTATCAATAGAATGATAAATTGGTGATAATCTTTCAATAATGTCCTTCTGTGACATGATATGTGAGGTATGATTAACTAGCAGTGATCGTAACCAGTAAATTAAGGTATCTCTTGTCTGGGAAAAATCACCATAAAGTTCAATGATCACGTCAAGTAGCTTGATGGCATATGTGGCAGAAAGATTTTGGACTGTGGACTCAATTAAATCGAAATCGGAATGAGACAAGCATTTGGCAACCATTCCTACATCGTGACTCTTGAGTGCAGTTATCAGAGATGAATTCAATTTCATGACTGGAACTCCCGATTCAGAGAGTGTCATTTCTTTCTTAGTAGATGTTGTTTGTTGTTGTGCAAGGATATCTTGGAATGTCTTTTGTCCATCGGATTTTGTGAAACCTTGAGCAAATCTGGCATTTGGAGTCTCCATGTTTGCACTTCCCAAAACAATGTTGCTCGAAAAAGCGCCTCCCTTAGATCCAATTAATTTATCCTTTGAGCCAGCAACAATTGGTTGGTCATCAATAACCAACTCCTTTTCTGTAAACAAAAAGTTTTCTTGATCTTTTTCGTTGGATGAATAGTCAAGAATTTGAAGGTTAGGGAAAAGAGCAGAACCCATTGCAAGAATAATACGACTCTCATCAATGAATTTTGCTGAAATCACCTTACCAAAACCTTTGGATTGATGGCACTTGACAGTGGCCTTTGAAGCAATTTCATAGGAGGAATTGTCTGCTGGCTTCAATCTAAACAAAGTCAATAGCCCAGAATGTGACACTGCGAGAATGTCCAAGTATTTCTTAGATCGATAGAATCCATCAATAGCGATCACGTTTCCGTCCAATGTTAATACCTTATTAGGAGCAATCAAATCAGATGAGCTGGAAGATGTGCTCATCAATTGCTCAATAAAATTAGATGTATTCAACCCATGTGCATGAGTGCTAGCCATAACATTGCTTAAATTATATAAGTTGAGGTATCTATCGTCATTTGACCTCGTCAAGAGTAAATCGGAATGAATAAATACAGTTTGGTGTGCGCCATTCTCGTGACCTTGAAAATCACAAACTCGTTGTTGCGTATTGACTTGAAATAATTGAGTTTTTCCTGCGTTTGCAATAGCAAAAACGTCTGCTCCATTCAAATGCCCACAGTTATCACTCAAACAAGTAATATCTTCGAAACAAATCTTGTTTAAATCAACTTTGGTGTTGTTAGATTTAACTAGAAAGTGAGTTCCTGCAATTAGATTCGGAGAAAGGGCTGCAAATATTCTGTTACCATCGGGACAATTTACATTTAAAATTGGAGAGCCAGATGATGCCGGTGCTAATTGAATACTCTTCACAACTCTCCCTCTTTCGGTATCAAAAGCAATGACCTTTCCGTCCATGGTACCAGCAAGGATATATGATTTGTTTGATTTCTTTCTCTTCTTTTCGTCATCTCCCAGTCCCAGATTACTTGTGAGCGAAATCCAACTCATACAAGAAAATTTTGTTTGTAAATCTAAAGGAAGTGTTAATTGCAACAAGAGTTGAGAGTTCTCTCCGGAATATACATTAATTTGATTTTTGCTTTGGGATAGAGTTGCAAAGTTACAAATACCTCCATTGTTAGGTTCCCAACACACTCCGAATGATGATGTTGTTGGAGCGGATGAATCTTGCTGCATGATGACGACTATGAATTTTTTTATTCAAATCACTTCTGTTGTTTTCAACTTTTTTGTTGACCTGAATCACTTGAACAGCTGAACAATGAGAGCTCGAAGCTGTCTCTCCTTGTCTGAAGTCTCTGTTGGTCTCAACACACTATCCATTTCCTTGCTTGTTCTAGTAATTTCTTCTTTAACCTTTTTCTCAAGGAGTGAACACTCAGTCAAGTCCTTAGTTTCTTTAAATTGAGAAAAACAACTGTCATAACCAATGGCTAGCCATTTACCAAAATACTTACTCAATAGAGATAGCCTTTCTTTGTGTAGTTCATGCTCAGATTTTCGCCTGGTATCCAACTCTTGATGCTTTTGAGCATAACTAGCCATGTCTTGTTGGAATTTAGTATAGGTAGCTCTCATTTTCTTTGCAAGTTTCATTTGGGACTCTTCAATTTCTTGAATGCTCTGTTTGTAACATGTTGCCAATGCTTCTCTTTCTTTCAATCTGTTTTTCTTTGTGTCATTTATCATCTTCTTGATCTTGTCAGCACAACTCTTTTTCATGACCTCAATCTTTCTATTTTTCTTTTCTTGCTGCTTCTTTATAATTGTAGACATCATAGCTGCAACCTCGCTTGAAAAGTCATCATCATCATCTAGAGCATCCTCTTTCTTTCTCTTAGTTCCTTTTTTCTTACCTTTTGAATTTGCTGGAGTTTTTTCCAGTTCCATGTTAATATTGGTATCATCAAGATTGAACCCTCCAAAAGTGGTATCGATCTCACTTGGCTCTTCAAAAAGTCTTCGTGGTACTAGTGGAGATCTTTCAGTATCATGAGACATTGTGTCAAGATCATCAAGCACAGAGTTAGAAACTGTGCTTGTGGTTGTAGATGAGAATGCATCCGACAAACTCAAAAGAGGTCTATCAAAAATATTTTCCCAATCCGACACCCTGTCATTATTTGCTACAGAGGATGTGTCGTCTCTTTGCTTTTCGATTTCTGGTATGGGTGAAGTCACAACTTGCTCAAGTAAGTCTCCAATTTTTGTGGTAATTTCAGGTATTTCAGTAACTTGAGGAGCAATCTCAACAGATTTTGTTTTCTTCTTTGATGTGGTAGCAGCCCTTTTCTTTGACGACAGGGATTTTTCTTTCTTTTCAGCGCTTAAGGACTTGGCTCTTGACCTTGTAGACACCTCTCTTTCGTCTTTCTTTCCTTTTTTCTCGTTGTCATCGCTCATTTTCTTTGTAGATTCTTTCTTTTGCTCTTGTGGATCTTGAATGGATATTTCCTTCACAGCTTGCTTAACCTCGTCTGTGGGAGGCGTAGAGGTAAGACAGCTTGTCTTCAATGGAATTGCAGTGATAGAGACTTTTCTGGAGTTTGGAGTGTCGCCAGTAACTAATAATCCTTCTGGAACAGGAGGCTGGTTCAGTAGCTCCTCTTTCTGCTTATTTTTCTCTCTGCAAACTGATATCAAACCTGAAATGTTCTTTTTGATAAGCTGAAGAGACTCTTTGGTCATGCTAATTCCAATAATTTGATCATCCTTAGTAGCGTCGTAACAACCTTCAAATCCAGCAATTTCATTGAACAGTTGTAAAATCAACTTTTGTTGTTTGTATGAGAGCCTCAAGGTTCTAATGTTTGTGTATTCAAAATCGACAACATCCTTTGTGTCGTCGTCTGGTTGTGGAATAAAGCAGCTCATCGATTTGGTACCAAAATCCACCCATTCAGGAAAGCAGGTAAAAGATCCCATGTTCATTTCGGAACTCTTAATAGAATACACGGTTCTTTTGTCTTCGCTCATTTGGTCGTTAAGTTCCATCACAAACGATCTAATACATTCCACAAATGTCTCGTCTCCCTTGATCTTCTTAAATATCACGATGATTTTATCTGATAGCTCATCAAAACAGCTGAATACACTCTTAAGGCTTGAGTCACTCATATTACTCCAGCTCAATAGACGATACAGTACCTCAGTAATGTTCGCTTGCAAGGTAAAATCCCCCGAGTTGATTAAACTTGCGGCCAATTGGTTGATGAGATGAGACTCTTGAAGAAGCACAGTCTTGTTCTCCTTTGAGTGTTTTATCATTTGGTTGATGCACTCAGCGGCATGCCTTCTCACAAAAACGTCATAGCCTTTCTCTTTGACGACCCTAACACACACTGGAATGAACTTCTCTCCAAATATTTGTTTTCCTTCAACTCTCTCGCATAACGAATGAATGGTGATTAAAAAGTTGGTGAAGAGCTTTTCCCAACCGTCCTTAATACGTGCTTCAATGGCGCTCATCTCGTCTTCTGGGCGTTGATTCATTAGAAACTTTTCAATCACCTGGAATAAACTCATCATGGATGAAGTCAAGGAATCAACAGAAAGTAGTTGAAGAACAGCCTCATCATGGTCAGATACGTTGGCCATCAAGCGAAGGATGACTCTAATGTTCTCAACTCTTACGCTCTCTTTCTCACTTTCCTACATGGGCAATTAAGTTCAAAGGTACTCTGGTTGAGTAGAATTTGAAGGTTACTTACTTTGAATAAAAGATCACATAGTTGTTGAGCTTGCTCTCTGTTGAACGATGATGAGTCTTGTTTGGTGAGGTCGCTTTTCTCCTTGTAGTACTCTTCAAGAAGAGCACAAGCCTTAGAGGGCGTTTTGCTTAATATTTCCTCAATCTTAGCCTCGTTATTTGAAACCGTTGAGATACAATGACTTACGTTCATGAACAGAGTTGGAGATGCTGTTGTTTTTTTTCAATTTGAAATTCCCTCCAAGTTTAAACTTACAAGTCTAGAGTGATGACACACAACCGGTTTGTCAGACACTCTTTGTTTCATCATTATCGGATTTTGATATGGTTTAATATTATCAACGTTTTGAATTCATTCGTATAATGTTTGACTCCACAACGTAGAGAGATATTGTGTTTAACAAACAACCATCACAACTGACACATCATCGTTGCGTTGACGGAAGGGACTTAAAAATATAAATTTTTGTTGTAAAAAAATCAAAAATAATATTCCGTTTGCCCTCAAGCAACAACAATAATTTAAATTATTTATCTCTTTCAAAACCAATAAGATGAGCCCATCCGACGAGCTTGAACAAAGCAGTTTTTCTGATGTTGTGGAAGACAGGAACGATCAACAACAAGGACAAGAGGTTACTCCAAAACCTACAGAGGAACTGAAGCCTCCAGTTGTTGCCGAGCCAAAGAAAGCAACTGAACCTGAATCAAAGACAGCAAGCACAGTAGCTGCTACTTCTACTCCATCCTCAAAGAGAACAAGTCTTGGAGAGCCACTTCCAATCAAATTGGGTCTTGCCGACCAAACTCCTCTTGATCAATTGAGTGCTGTTGATGTAATCATGTGGAGAAATTATTTGGTTACACTCCCAGTTTTCCTTGCCATTCAAGCTCTCTTCCTTCTCATTGTCAAGTATGAATTTTCCGTTGTTACTCTCGTCGGTAGAATTGTTTTATTGCAAGTTATTCTCTCCATTGTATATATGGTTGTCTTCAAGATTGTCCAAAATAATCCAAAGTATGTATTTCATCAATTTTTTGGCTTATCACTAATGATTATTCTTTCGTGATGATTGTCAACATTTGAACTTTTGTTCATAGTCTCAAATTCCCATTCGAAGATGTTCAAATCAGTGAAGCCCTTGTCAACAAAATTGTCAGTGGTGTCGTTGCAAACGTCAATGCTGTCTTGAAGTACTACGTTGACATTTTGAGTTGCAAGAATTTGTCCAAGTCACTCTTGTTTGCTTTGGTTGTGCAAATTATCTGTTGGCTCGGAAAGAAGATTTCAGGAGAGACTTTCTTGTATGTTGCTTTGAATGTCTTGTTCACTCTCCCATTAATTTATGAGTGGAAGCAAACTGAAATTGATAATGTTGTAAGCATTGGATGTCAAAAGGCAAAGGAGCAATTGTCTATTGTTTATGAGAAGCTTCCTCCACAAGCTAAAGAATTTCTTTCAAAGTTGGATTTGGAAAAGAAGAATAAATAAATCAATCACTGAGTGATTTGTACAGAACGTCATTGAGGGATTTTATTGTTGTTGCTTGTTAGTGACCGTTTTCATATAGTTCACACCTTTCGTTTTCTTGGAGATGTGAGTAAGGTTGATTCCTTGGGCATCTCGATAATTTCCTCTACTAGCCTTGACTTGAACCTTTCCCATGATTGCTGTTGTGAAAACACTTTTCGAATTTCTTTTTCTTTTGGATACGTACTTGAATATTTCTGCATTCTAGAGACGGCATCCCTGTTGAAAACTATATTTTTCAATTCGTTGAGCAAGGTAATCAAGGCTTATTGAACTATTTCAACTTACAGTTTGTGAAGGATGACCTATTGATGCAATACAGCACTGTTGGAGAGGTGGTGTAAACAGATGCTAATCGAGTGTATCTAAGCTTTGGGGACGAAGCACATTCCGTTTCGTTATTGCACTGCTCCTCTTCGATGGCTTCACCACCATAGATTAACACTCGCTCCCCAAACTAATACGCCAGAAAATTAATATACGTGCTTGAAATTACCAATACTTACATATTCTTTTGGCTTGAGTCGGCACAGCTCAACAAATTTCACATACTCCAACACTTTATGACCAAGGTTCTCCTGATACTTCAATCGCTTTAGAACAGCTACCTCGCCTGACTTGATGAAATACATGAGCTTTCCTTCTTTACCTTGTCTAAGAATTGTATGTCTTGAAGGGAAGTGTTGAACAAAAAATGATTTGGCAAGCTCATACAAAGTAGAATCTTTGTAACCTGCAAATATGGGAAGAACTAACGTTTTAAGAAACTTGACTCGATATTTCAGTTCGTTTTCATGTTTTTGTCTAAGCGTTTTGGTATAAACATCGTGTGGTATTTTAAGTATCTCTGTTTCCTCGTTAGATATCCATTTCCAAGCTCCTTCTCTTGCATAGATATCATTCAAAAAAGGCTCTCCAAAGGTATCTCCAGAACAGAGCGAGCAAATGTTCTTATAGGAAAGGCCACTTCTTGGAGATGTAACAGCGTCAGTAGGTGGTGCAGACATCACCTGGTTTGACTTCAATCCCATTTTGGAGTAATATGATGTTGGATAGGGTGAGGACAGAATTCCAACACTGCCTTTTAGAACAACATAAAAGAAGGCAGGTCTTGTGTTTTGTTCCAATTCGCAAACGACCTCATTGATTTTCAAGGTTTCACACGAGGCAAACCTCATGCATTCTTCAATGTCTAGGGAGGAAAGATCAAGAGATGGGTCAGAGAAGAATTTTAACCGCTTTGCCAACGACACAAGCAGAGCCACATCGTAGTCTGTTCTTATCTCACCTCTTGCAACATGTTTTGGAAATAAGTGCAATGTTTAGAAAATCACAAACCTTTTTTGCAAAGACTTAATGGCATCTTTCCAATCCTTCTTGTCAATCTCTACTTGCTCTAACAATTCAAATGATCCAACCATTTTTGAAATCGACGTATGTGCTTTGTAATGGTGATCCCCTCTAGTATCAGAGGGTGCTTGTGACGAAGAGAATGGTTTGCCTTCATAAAATGTGCTCATGCTGATGTGTCTTGCTTGATCTGAATAATCATAAATTTTAAATAAATTTGAGTTTTGAACATCGGATCTTCTGGGTGTGTTGTTGGAAATTGTAGTGGTATTGAGGATTGAAGATGTAGGGTTTAAAGAGATACTGGACTTTCTATTCGTAGACATTTTTTTTACCGTTGCAAATTTACGGATTTGTGCAGTGTTGGACACTATCTTCAATTATTGATTTTAAAACGCACTTCAAATGGATTTCCTTGCAACCAAATCATTTATGGCCATGATTAATTTATGGTTTTGCGCCTGTGTTTCTTTTCCTTCAATAAAAAATGGGCTTCAAAGATTGCTTGCAGAATCCTAATACACTCTCATCCATCAACGGAGTGACAAGCCTGTTGAATGGAGGAGCTTCGGATCATGAATGTTATGCTTGGCTGCATCAGCTCTTGATCAAAATATTCGGATTTGCAAATAATACGGGAGGTTGGCTTGTTGATGCCGAAACTGACGAGATGATTTATGATGCTGTGATTAAGTTATTGGATCCACACGGACCTCTTTTTAAAGTTCTTCTCGGAAATAATCAAAACATGTATCAATTTCCAATGAACAGGCTTTCCTTCGGGATGCAATCATTTATTCAACAGTTAAAAAGAAAATCAAAAGCTAGTAGTGATGACTATAACATTCTTGGTGTGTATCAACACTCACTCTCTTATAGATACTTTTTGAACAAAATTAAACAAGCATCTACTCGCGATACTGGATCCTTCTTTGTCCTGAGTAAGTTTCAACAGCGCAAATTATAAATTGGAAATCATATTTTAATTCCTACTTTGATGATCCTACCATGACAAATTTACATGAACAGATACTTTTGAGTATTATTTGTTTTGCTTTTTTTACTTTTTAACCACCAACACTAGGATTACACTAAAAACCCAAAGCAAACAGCCTTCATTTGAGTCTGACAATGTAAGTTATTCCTTGGTGTCTTGCTTGAATTTCATGCTTGTGATTTAGGGCTTTTTTTCTAAATTGGCTCCAGTAAGACCTGAGGCATCCAGACAGGTTAAACGAGAACCTGTTACCATTTATTTGTTAAGCAAGTACTTGAACTTCTTTTTCCCTCTCGATGGGCACACCTCATCCAGAGACGCCTACATTTCCAACATGTTTCTGTCAGTGCTCTCAGATTATTTGTTTAATCAGATTATTCAGGAATATGGCCAACCTCATTCAGTAAGTAGAAACAATTTTTCTCCGCATAGACAAGAACTGTTGTTTCATTAGTTTTCATCCGAGATGTTGACAGACCCTGCTAGATTTTCTTATTTTGCATCCGTTACTGTGAAGCATTGTTTAAAGACAATTTCTTCTTCATCAGACATTTACAAGCAATTTGACGAGCCACACGCAGCAGTAAACTACAAAGATGATAACTTTGCTTCAAAAACTGCTCCCTATTCACACATTCAGTATGCTGCATATAGATTTCTGAAGGCACTCTTTACTGATTTTCCATATGATAAACCGTTTCCCCTCAAGTACACTATTAGTTTATGGAAAGGTCTCATGATGCCATGGAGGTTATTGAACAACAATAGTCAGAACCCATGGCCTCTTTACGTAACCTCAAATTGGTGCTTTTATTCCTCATTATTTTATTATTTCCTTAACTTCAGATTCCCTTCTGATTTTTCTAGCGCATCCTTGTTAGATCTAGAAAGTATATCCACTCTTCTTGACGTGTTCAAAGAACCCAAGTTATTGGAGTTGCTGAAACAAATTGATAACATCATTTCCACAACTAATGTACAAGAAGGAACCCTATTATCTCACATGAACATTTGTGAAACCGAGCTTTCTAGAGTTGCCCACCTTTTTTCTTTGGATACGATCGATCTAGTGAATCAAAAGATAACGGAAATACAGCTGGCCAAATCTCATCAATTAAGCAGCTCTCCAAGAATTATGAGGTTACTCACAAATAGAGGTAAAAGCTCTGCAGATACAAGTGTCAGACTAACTTTAATTACAAAAATAGCATCCAAGTTATCCACCATCTTTGATTTGGACGCTCAGCTCAACGATCCACTTAGAACTCCATCAGCTTACTCTCCTCGCAGTTTAACAGGCCTTTCTCCATTCGAGAGTCCTGACACAATACCAGAAAATATTTTACAAACAACATCAATATTTCATGAAACTGACTCGCTATCAAGCACTCATGGCATGAGAAAATTATCTCCAATTGATCTAGATCATTTCATCAATGGAAGATTTAAATGCCAAAGGATGGATGCAACATTTAAATACAACATTCTCTATAGACCAATTGAAACCAATGAAATTTCGTGGCTCGTTGTTCCAACAATACGATGGTCAGAATGGTTTTTCAACAAATTTGGAAAGCATGTGAATATGAGAGCATTGGCAAATATCTCCAATTTATTATTTATTGCGCTTACCTTTGTGTTTATTTATCTGCTCTTTCTATTTTACAGCATGATTAGCTTTGAGTAATTAAATTTTGGAGAGGGATAATTTATCCATCAATATTTTCCATTCTAAATTAAGTTTTTCTATTTTCTCGAATGTGGTTGCCTTAATTGCAGATGGAGCAGCTCTGCTCAGTCGAAGCACTATTCCTCTCTCCTCCAAATGCTCCCTATTCACGGGGCTTAGATAAAGAAATTCCTAATCACATGAATAATCCAGCATTTTCAAACAAACTCTAACTTACCACAGCCATGACGATGGCGATAACGTTCAAATAAAAATCGTACATATTTCCCACGACTTTGACAAAGCGCTTACGATGTCTTGCAAAAGCAGTTCGATTCAAAACAGCTGTTTCAAGCTCGGTGAAGGAGTCATGGATTTCGTCAAGATAGAGACCAGCCTGCTTTACAATATCCGTCAATCTGTAGATTTTTGTGAATTCAATGGATTGAGTATTGCCACATTTTCCACAGAATGTAAGAGGGAGTCGAGGTTTAAACGTTGTTTTTGAAAGATCCTTAAATGCATCAAGGAAACTGTCAATATGTGCATTCGGAAGTGATTCCTCTGATTTCTTCTTTAAAATATTAGAAATATGTATGTTCTTAATATATAGATGATTATACACCACCGATTCATGATTGATCTGTTTCATATTATTGTTGTAAACTTCAATTAATTCCTCTAAATCTGAAGACTCTCGGACTACAAATCTTTTCTCTCCTCTTTCAAGAGGATATTTCACAAAGAGATGTTTTGTCAAGTTATTTGCAAATTTATACTCCCACGCCTTGGAAAGAGTATTCTCTGAAAATGTTTTAAACTTGTTCACTGTTGTTTCAAATTCATTGAGTAGACTCATTTGGGGATGATAGATTTGAAATGTAAATTTAGACGATGCTTCATGCAGGTAATCGAATAATGTGGTCTTGTCACTTTCATGATTGTTACAACATGGCAATGAAACAATAGAATATCTATGGACCATACATAATGCAATAGTAATGACTTGTTCACATAAATGAACAATGTTCTTGTTGATTGTTAGTGGATCAACAACTCCATGTGACAACTTGTCTCTAATTCTTGGACCATCCTTAAAGAAGAGAATATCAAAAAGGGATAACATTAATTCTTCTCCCATTTCCTCAATGACTCTATTTCTCGATTCAAAATTCCAAACTGATGATACTGCCTCTCCATCCGTGAGTTCTGTACTTGTTTCATAGTCCAAACTTGGATGTAAAATCTCATCAAAAGTTGTATACACTTGATCTGTTTCAGCAGAAAAGAGTCTCACAAAGTTTTGGTTTGAAAATGCAAAGAGTCTTCTTAATGCATGTTCCAAGTGAGGAAAAAGCAACACAAAACTTAAATAGAAATTTCCTTGACGATAGTATGATAGCGAGAGTTTCCAATCCTTCTTACTTCTTAATGGAATAAAGTAACTAGAATCAATGAGATGTTCAACTTGTTTTGGTGAATTTTCATCAGTTAACAGAAAGTTAGAAATCTTGCTTCGACATGGATTTCCTGATAATTGTGGAATGTCCATCATGGCGTTAAATGATCTTCTCATTTGGTTTGAACTTTGTAGAGTGTTTTTCACAGACTCTTTTTTTGCAAGTGTAACAATTAATACAATTAGGAAGGATGCAAAGGATCTAGGAAAATGGGATGCATCCAAAAATCCATGCCAAACAACATTTCTAAGATTTAGACCTTGTAATGGTCCAGAAAAACATTTGAAAATAAATACAAATTCTTTTCCAAGAACTGACTCAATTTCTTCAACCATGAGCAATTCATTAATTTTAAGCTCTCTAAAGTTTTCAATTAAATTTGTTACATCATTTGAGCTGGTATCATTTGATTTCTTTTTAGCGAGTAACAGCAAGTCACCCAACACTCTTTCTAAAAAAGTAATTCCCACAGAGAAACACGTATAGTATTGTCCTTTCCAATAGAGCTCTAAAATCAGTTGTAGTGTCGATATATTTTCATCCTCTGTTTCAGGTAAGAAACTGTCACATACAAACTCTCCAAAAAATGTTCGAAAGTTGGCAAAATCAAATTCAGAAATCCAAGAAAATAAAATTGGATCAATAAACTCAATCATTTTCCTCAAACAAATGGAACCAAATCGAACTCGTTCAAATGCATCCTTCTCTCCTTGTTCCAAAATTTTCTTTGGTTTAATTAAATAATTCATCATCTTCTCTTGATCTTGATTGATTTTTAATTCCATCCAATGAAATAATTGATCCATACGAAGAGTTTTTTCATCATGATTTAGAATGTCATTTCTATTCAATGAATCTTCAATTTCAATGATATTCAAATTATAGAGCATGTTATAAACATTCGGAGAGAGAGGAAGATCTTCCTTTTCTTGAAGTTCATTCAATTGTTGAATGAGTGCATGTATTTCTGTGGTATTTGGATCATGTCGTGTCATGGATTGAATTTTCTTTCCGAGTTTGAAAATCTCTTCCTCCACAAACACACCCGTCTCCAATTCGGATTTTCGTTGTGTGATCATGTGGAAGTGCCTACAAGTGTGTATCTTTGTATTTTTTTTAATATTTTGTCGTTTTTTGGCGATGAATGCTTCTTCATTTTGAAAAATGCAGCAACAGGACAACAAGCCTTTGGAAATTGTTCATGACGATCGGACAATGAGCTCGCTCAACAAGAATATAACGCAAGAACAACAAGAAGGAGTCAATAATAATTTATCATCTTCTACCCCCTTTTCAAGCCCATTTCTTTTGAGTAATGATGAAATTCGGAAACTCAGAATTGAAGATCATCGGTTGGAGTGGTATCGAAGAAGACACTATCAAAATTGTTTTGCATTGGATACATGGTATCAACAATTGGAGAAGTATACATTTCGTACTGTGAGCGTAGAATTGAAATTTGAAGAAGCCAAGGCTTTAATTTCTCTGATTAAATTGAATCAAAGTAGCAATGAGAGAGTAGCGAGTGATTTTAAGCATCGTTTAACCGATTCCGAGTTGAAATTGTTGAAGAATATTGAGGAGAGAATCGATGACTGTATGAAACAACACGAAGAAATGTTTAAGAATGGAGCATTTGTTAAATTGAATACTAGGAGTCCAAAAGTATGTAAAACATGGTGGTTGACAAATCCATTGAATTAATTTAGAGATGATTGGTTTTTCAAATATTCAATTTCAATGAAATTAACAGGACGTTCCTTGGAGAGAACATGAAAATCCCATCTATCAACAACTAGTCCAAATAGAAATGGATCAATTGCAAGAAAACACTCCCAACCATGTATATATTGCATTCTTAAAAGCAATGAATAAGAGCATGAGAGTTCGAAATGGAAAAGAGGCTCTAGAACTTCTAAGTCGTTCACAACGAATTTATGAAGATTTACAAAAGAATACAGAATTTGGTGAGGAATTGTATGATAGCAAAATTATCATTCGAGAGTGGATTGATGAAGTTATTGAGAACCCTCAGTACGAATTTCGATGTTTTGTTCATGAAAATCGTTTGAACGCAATTTCACAATATTTCTGTGATGTTAAGTTTCAAGAATTATGTGATCGAAAACTAGAAATTCAGCATCAAATTAATGACTTCTTTCAAAACACGGTATTGACCTCAATCACACATGCAAGTTTTGTGATTGACTTTTTTGTTTCACCTACAAGAGGAGTCATGGTGATTGAGTTAAATCCCTTTCATATTGGTGCTGGAGCTTGTTTATTTTCATGGAAACAAGATCGACAAATCATGATGTTTGGTCCCCAAGAATTTAGAATTAAGGAACAAAATGCAGACGAATCCATTTACAAATCATTTTTAACCATTCCATGGGAGAAGCATTTAGTTTTGCATCACCATGTTCAATCTCCCAATTATTCGAGAGAGGAGCTTCTTTTGAAGAACAAGGAAGCTCCTGAAGAAGGTAAATGTGTGTTGGCTTAATCCTCCAATCACGTTCAGTTCCACAACCTGCAACCATAAATGCAACCTTTCAGCTGTCATTCTCCCTCCAAAAATTCCACTAAATTCAAGGAGTTAAAGTTCATAACTCCAAAAAATGTCCTCCACTTCTCCACCGAATGAACGAGCTCTCGCTTCCAATAATAACGATCATGGAACAGCAACAACGACTACCTCTCTTCCACAATTTCGAATTCGAAGGTCAGCCTTTAAATCTCAACAACATCCTCATCACGTATTGACATCTTCTTCCTTGAATCCTACTACTACCACAACAAATACGTCAATTCCAACCCGAGGAGGAATATATCCTTCATCATCAGCACCGAGTACTGTTTTGAATGGTTCTCCATCTTTATGGCAAGATGAAGAACAGAATCATGGAAAACAACAACAACTCTCATCCTCTCTTCCTTCAACAACCTCATCCATCATTACGAATGATGAAGAAGATTCATCATCCAATACAATAAGAACAAGAACAACACGAACAACAACAACAATTGTACCACCTTCCAACCCTTCTTGTCAGACACCCATAACAACAACAATAACAACACCAATTGTGAAATCGATGGCCCTCAGAGACTCTTCCACGAAACTCTATTCCTTTATTCATGTCCTACCAAATATTATTACTTCTACTGCTACCACTACGACTACTGCTACTACGAGTACTGCTACCACTACCACTACCACTACTACTACCACAACTATGGATGATAGAAATTTATTCAATGTGTGTCATCATTGTGGAGACATTTTAGATTATTTTCTGAGTCATGTGGAAACGAGTAGGAATGATGATCCTCATCATGAAGAAGAAAAAGGTATTCCTGTTTCATGTGGTGATGTAAACCACAAGACTTGGGATGAAAACTTGTCGTCTGAAAATCAATCTCGATGTGAAATTTTGTCGTGTTGCTACAAGTGTCTCTCCTCCAATCATGAATGTCCAGTGTGTGAAAAAAGTCTTGAAAATAATATTGTAAAGGTTCCATGGACACTGCATTTAGATTCCACTCGAAATGATTCATTATTGAAACAATATCAAGAACTGATTGGAAGATGCTCTCAATGTCACGAGTATGTGAAAAGAGTTAATTTTGAAAAACATGTACAGAACGATTGTAAAACTGAAATTGAAACCAATTTTGAAGAGATTCAACAACAACGAATCGAAGCATTACACCATGAATATTCATTGAAGATTGTTGCTGCCAATGAAAGAGTCAAAAAATTAGAGTCGAATCGTAAAGAATTGACCAGTCAAAAGATGAATCTTCAAAATGAAATTTCGGATCTTGCCAAGAAACGATTCATGGAAGAACACTCTCAAATTGTGACTTTGGATGTAGGAGGTGAAATTATGCAGACGTCACTGTCCACACTCTTGAATCGAGAATTTGAACCTGAATCCTTGCTTGCAACCATGTTTGAGAATGCATCTAATCAAGACACAGAGCATTACATTGATTGTGATCCTGAACATTTTTCTCATATATTGCATTGGCTTCGATATGGAAATATTCGAGTCGATACAGCAACAGGTAAACTTCTTGTGGATGTGGCTGAGGAATTTGGTCTGCGAAATTTAAAACAACAAATTGAAAGTTGTGAATTATTGAAAGAGACCATGTCTAAATTTGGTCTTTCAAAAACGAACAAGACATATAACAAGATCAAACAATATGAAATGGATCACTTACTGAACTATTCCATGAAGGAAAATGTTCAACTGTTACTGACCAATGTGGATTTGAGAGGAGTCTCTTTACGTGATGTTCAAATTACCAATGCTGTCATTACCGATTCTGATTTTAGTGGTTTGAATTTAATGGGATCTTCTTTCTGTGGCACGAATTTGAGTGGATGTAATTTTGAAAAATGCAATTTGACCAATGTGAACTTGAGTGGATGTAATTTGACGAATGTGAATTTCAGAAATGCCACTCTGACGAATGCCTCTCTCACAGGAAGTATATTGGATGGATGTATCCTTGAAAATTGTAATTTATCCAATGCCAACTTGAAAGCTTGTGATCTTACCACTTGTTCACACTCTTCGACAGGATATATTTTAGCAAATGCCAAATTGAATCGAGCCATTGTGAATGCAGACTTTTTGAGAAAATCAAAGAGTTTGTTTGGTATTGACCTCAGTGGATGTAGTCTTAAAAAGATGGACTTTTCTGGTCTTGATTTTTCCTATGCCAATTTATCTAATTGCATTCTCACACAGAGTAATTTTACACAAACTAATCTTGCAAATGCCAATCTTAGCACTTCGTCTCTCAGCGAATGTATCTTTACAAAATGTAATATTACTGGTGCTAAATTGATGAATTCTAGTTTGAGAAATTGTGATTTGACAAGTATTGATCCAGCATCGGTTGGATATTGTGTGGCTGGAGCAAAATTGCAAGGCGCCAAATACGACGATGATTTTATGAACAAGGCCATCAAGTTGGTACGAAATAAGAAAGAATCCTACGCACGAAGAAATCAATCACAAGAAAACGATCTCGAAACTCTCATGCTTTCAGATGCCTACTTTTACAGTATTCTTAAAGTTTTTGCAGAAAAAGAATATGCATGTGAAAATTTATTACTGTGGGAAAAAATTAAGAATTTGTCATCAGATTTCAACAACCTGCAAGCAGTGGTCAGCAAAGATGTGTTGCAAGAAATTTATAATGAATATGTGAGGCCAAGTGCACCCAATGAGATTAATTTTTCATCGGATTGCAAGAAAAAGTTCTACTCATTAATAGAGCCCAACTCGGATCCAAAACATGCTTCACTGGCTAGCACACGAGAAAGTTTAATCCATGTAGCCGAACCTATTGCTGAAAATAGTGAGATGGTAAAGAAGCACAACGAAGAAGTGAATGTGAAATCAGTCATGGATTTGTTGTGGTCTGAATTGTTCATGAACATTTATGACACCTTCACACGTTTGCAAAAAACAAAGCAATACACCCATTGGGAAAAGACAAGCACCAACGTTCCATTTGTTACCTCACACGAGTAAATGCAATTTGTTTTGATCAAACGAAATACAGTTATTTGTTTTATTGTCAATGTCAAGGGCGGTTTCTTTGTGAAATTTCACATTCCATTGAAATTGGTTTCATGAGCTATCATCTCACGTTGTTAAAGCACCAACTTCAATGCACCCTTATTTCATCAATAAAGCTGATCAATTAGATGTTAGGATGAGCTTGTCGACAACTTGGGATTGTACAAGAACAACTGTTCTAGTACCAATGTTAGGAGTGAGTTTGCTGTATTGAGGGTGTGGTAACGATACCAGTAAATCTATACAGCTATTGAGATGTGCTACCTTTTTCTTCGTCTTCGCTTTCAGAGTTATTATTGGAATCATCTGACGACTCTGTGTCTGTGACAGATTGTAAATTCTCTAGCTGATTATGGATTTGTAAAACGTGAGGTTCTAACAAAATGCACATAGGATCAAAGGACGGGAAAGTGGTGGGAGAAGCGTGAGAGAGATCATTGCTAGTAGTGCCAGAAACGTCATAGATTAAAGTGGGTTCATTGTCCACTTGCGATAAATTGGAATGTAATGCCATCGAGTTTCCTTTCCTCAACATCTCCACAAGATCTTTCTTTGAAGGTCTTCTTACTAGAAAGTTCTCAATGTGTCTCTTTTTTCGTTCCTTCTCTTCTCTTCCAAGACCAATACCAGATAAAGCTTGTTCTTGATCATAAATATAAGAAAAGTCTTGATGAAGTGGAGTGTTGTCACTCACAGAATTACTCGAGGATGTTGATGAAGGAGAGCTTGAAGTTTGTTGTTCAACAGACGAGGAACGATTGGAATTGCTTGATGATGTATATCCACTACTGATGTGGTATGGTAAAATCCCTCGTTGTTCGAGCTGTTCCAAGTTAGGTCTATTTTCCAACTTTTGTGAGAGATTGGATTGCCTTTTCTTCCACAGAATCTTTTCAATAGTAGAAGAAAGTGTGTGGGAAACTTGATTATTTTCATAATCTCGGAGAATGTTGCGACATCGGAGGTTGTCTTGAAGATGAGGCCTCTCTTCCACAAACTTTTCCAGCTGCTCTCGTGTGAGAGTTGCCATCATGTGATGATGAGTGTAGGAGTGCATGTTGTTGTTTCTATTATTAAAAAATTGATATTTCCAAATGAATGTGCAAATAATTGTACAATAATTGAACAAATTCCGCAAAACAGAGCTCTAGCGCTAACGTTTCAACCGAATTTTCTCAATCTAAAATACTAGCAGGAAAATTATTGTAGAATACTAGGCGCTTATCACTTGCTTGGACCACACAAAAAACGTTTCCTGTGTGTTTTTGTGCACAAAAAAACAAGCCTTGTTGCGAGAGAGAAGGAGATGACGAGAGTTTTTTTTGTGTGCTTGTGCTTTTCACCAACCGCCGCTGGTCATCAACTTCGAACTTTGGCGAATAAAGTGGCGAGGAAATACATTTGCGCAAAGTCAAGCGATTTTCATTGGACGAAAAATGACAGAAGAAAGGACTTGAACCTCTACTTGATGGATAGGTCGAGTGATTTGGAAATTGTGGAAAGTCGTGTTGAAATATCTGTGGGCAGGTCTATGACCTGTCGATCAATTCCTACCACCATAATAGACCAATAAATGATTTACACAAGATTTACTTGTTGGTTAATAATTCTTCTTCATCATCAGTTAAATGAACATCCAAAGAATTAGTTGCATCTCTATGCTTGTAAAATTCTCGAGTGATATTCCTTGACTTGACAAATGCATACAACTTGGGGATCATGAGAAGAGCAGAAAAGGACCAAAATAGCCACATACAAATCACAAAGTAATGCAGGTCAGTAGTGTAAATGGTTGTTTTCGAACATGCAGGTGCCTCAATGATCGACGTACTTGCAATGATCAAAGCCAAACGAGTGACAAAACAAGCCAACGTAAAGAAATTAGTAATGCCTGATCCTGCTGTTTTCCGAATTTCGTTTTTCAAAAGTGGTTTTTCTTCTAAAGTTGATAATTGAAATGTGCTTGCAAGCAAAATCAATTCAACTAATCCCATAATTCCCATAGATAATATAATGTAATAAATACTATTGCTCGAACATTCATGGTCCTGTTTGTTTAATTTTGGTAAAGAATCAAAGAATGTTGTAATGGCTGAAAGTAATACAAATACAAGAAGAATAACTTCAAAAGCACATATCATTTCAAATCTATTTTGAAATCATTCAAATCATTCAATTATGATGATTCCGATGTTTGAAAATAATAACAATTAATGATGAAAATATAGTTATTAAATTCTTTGTTTCTCGCTATGTGACGCAAAATTCTTTATCGCACATACATGAAGAGATATGGTTTGACAAGATCAAACAATTGCTTTTGCTTCTTATTCAATCCGACGGTAGAAGACTCGTGAACATCGTCTGTTGTGATGGTCATTTTTTCAGTTGTTTTGATGGATGGTCCAAAAAATCACTGACACAAGACAGCTTGGTTGCAATTTTAATCCTCTTCATGCATGAAGGTGTAACCAATTTAATTACATTATTGCTTGTTACGATCTTTTCTCAATGCCATCACACCTGCTGTTAACTTGGTTTTCATGTCCATTGGTATTTTCTTTTGGAAGAATGAAATGACACTGGAGGGTAACCATCCACCATACTCCACTTGTGCCACAATGGTGAATTTGGTTGATTTTCCATCATTGACCGATTCGAATTTAAAGGCTTGAATCAAGAATTCTCCTCTAACGACACCACTCACCTCTTTTCCTTGAGGACCATCCAACTTGACACTTCTCATGACCATCCACCAAGCCTTTTCAGCTTCACTGTACCACCATATACGAGCAATGATGAAATCACGATGGGACACGAGAGAAGATGGTCCTTTAAGGCGAGTATAGAATACATCATAGCTCTTTCCGTCTTGAGTTTGTTGAGGTTGTTCTAGCCACTTTGCTTCAACTGTGGTTTCATTCATATGAATTCTGTAATCAATGTTTCGGGCAACTTCAAAAACGTCCTCTATTGGCTCATCCACGACTCCGGTAAACTTAATAATTGTAGAGCAACAATTATTAAGGAATTATTTCATCATTGGTTTTTTAAAATTCAGGATCAGTCATATAAATTATAATAGTATTGCAATCAGAATTTTCAAAGTATTAACGACGAACCATCAATTATTCAGATCGCCAACATAAAAATAAAATACACGTACTTTAATGCTCGGAGTGGAACGATCCGAAAACAAGCTCTTGGTGTACAGTGTGACACCATTGTCTTCACTGTCTTTGGTCCAACCATCGTACGTACTCAGCTCACGAATACCGAGCTCGACAGTCTCTGTAGGAACTTTGGACATTTTTTAAGGTTTGGTTGTTCTTTCAAATTGGAATGATTGTTTAGGAATTTTTAAATTCGAAACTGCAAGGTAAAATCCAGTCGCAGGTTTGTCGCTGCGTTCGCAGTCTTGATTCACTGCTGGTTCTGCTTGGATGAGAGAGCGATCCAGCAATGGCTTTCCCACAATATCAATGATCTGAAGGTTTATTTCCGTCGGCTTGTTTCGAACAAGATTGGCCACTTCCTTTTTTTGGACGTTGTGAATTTACAGTTGCTGGAAGGTCAAAATTCCATACAAAAAATTTGAATATTTAAATTTAAAAGCAAGCACCACCACAATTGCTGGTCGGAATTCTTCAAACATGGCCTCAAACAACAGAAACTGGGGAATGGTTATTGGTAACCCTCCTCACAAGGATGATGAAGACGGAGAGCTTGAGGTAGAAATGCCAATGCAAATTCGGTATGATCAAATGAGAAATGTTGTACTGAATTCTTCGGATTTGAATCTTGAACTGAAATCAATGAAACATCAGTACAATACTGAAAGCTCTGTGAGCATTGGCCAGGATATTGTAATTCCCATTCCAACACCAACTAAGCTTTCCCTTGCTGAAGATATCTCATCACCAAGACAAGAACCATCAGCAAACAATACGATTAACAACGATCTCAATTCCATCAATGCATCACTCTCTGCTGTACAACTACAAGAGGATTCCTCAGTATTTTCTCCTTCAATATTTATCCACAACAAACAAAAAACTGTTATTAACCGAAATAATAAGGAATGGATTGAGGCTCAAAAACCTGAGGTTTTAGAGCTTGTTAAGGAAGAATTTGAGCATGATGATTTAACGAATATGAGAGAGAGGCTGCGTGCCTTGGCTAGAGATGAAAAGGAGGCACTAAAAAGAAGATCCAAATTAGCCCGATGGCTGTCCTCGGTTCGATCATGGTGGGGAGGAAATCGATATCATCGCTACCTCGCTCGGTTCAACCCCTTTGCTCGGTCACTTTCCGTGATTGAACACAGGTTTGGAAGCGGAATTGCTACCTATTATGACTTTTTCTATTCGGTCATTAGAATGAATTTCTTCTTGTCTGTGTCCTGTTTTATTTTGCTAATTTTACCATGGTTACTAAGGAAACCAGCAGAATGGCCAGACGTTTGGAATTTAGACCTATTTCTTGGTATTATAGGATCCAAATCAAACATGATAGGTCAAACATTTTTCTTCTTTGGAGGATACGAAGATCGGCTAGTGCTTTTCTCGACAGTTATTTGGCCTTTTGCCTTTGTGTACATATTTGTGGTCATTCTCAATTTTATAATTGCAATTGTCATAATTTGTAGAAGTATTGGAGCCAAGGTGACCAATGTCCGTCGAGCAGATGGTAAGTTACTGTTGCACATCAGAGCTTAGAGTTAACCTGTTGGAATAGATCGTAACATTCGTTATTTATCTGCTGTGTTCAATAGTTTTTCATTTAGCGTAAATACAAAACAAGGAGTGAAAGATTTGCAAAGATATATTGCTGCGAAACTTCAAGAATACAGAAATGCCGATTTTGCAAAAGAGGCTGTCGTATCAAGTATGACCAAGAAAGAAATTGCGATTCTTGTCTTGAGAAGAATGATTGGCATCTCTATCAGCGGA